ATGTCTTTGTCGTTCGTGTTATTTACGATCGTGTGTGGCCTGTTGGCATACCTCGTCAGCGTGTTGAATAAGAAACGCTCCTATTGGCAGTCATTGGGCATCCCGTGCGAGGAACCCCATTTCCTGTTCGGCAGCCTGTGGGGTATTCAGACATCACGTGGATTTTGGGAGATCTGGGAACAATACTATAATCGTTTTAAGGGCATGGGTCCATTTGCCGGCTTCTATTGGTTCTTGCGTCCGGCGGTCTTTGTCTTAGATCCCGAATTGGTGAAGAATATTTTAATTAAGGATTTCACAAAATTCACCGATCGTGGTTTCTATCACAACGAGAAAGATGACCCATTGACGGGTCAGTTGTTCCTTTTGGACGGTTCGAAATGGAAAAATATGCGAAATAAGTTGTCGCCCACATTTACCTCGGGCAAGATGAAATTTATGTTTCCCACTGTGACCAAGGTGGGAGAAGAGTTCATTGAGGTGTTGAATCACATGGTGGCCGAGGAGGGTAGTGTGGTGGAGGTCAAGGATTTGCTGGCCCGTTTCACTACAGATGTCATTGGTACCTGTGCCTTTGGCATTGAGTGCAGTAGCCTTAAGGACCCCAATGCCGAGTTTCGGGTCATGGGTAAGAAATTCTTGGTGGAACAGAGACACAATCGTTTGGTCATAGCCTTTATGGCCAGTTTTGTGGACTTGGCCCGGAAAATGGGTCTCAAACAGACCCCCGACGATATTGAGGCATTCTTTATGCGCATTGTACGCGAAACGGTAGAATACCGCGAGAAGAATAATATTCGCCGCAATGACTTTATGGATATGTTGATCGATTTGAAGAATAAGAAGCTCATGAAATCCGATCATGGTGATGAGTTGACCAATCTGTCGCTGGAGGAGATTGCCGCTCAGGCTTTTGTATTTTTCAATGCAGGCTTTGAAACCTCTTCGACCACTTTGGGTTTTACTTTGTATGAGTTGGCCCAGAATCAGGAGATTCAGGACAAGGCCCGAAAGGAGGTGTTGGAGAAATTGGAGAAGTATCAAGGGGAGCTGAGCTATGAGTGTATGAAGGAAATGCATTATTTGGAGCAGATATTGTCAGGTGAGTGGGTGGGGGGAGGTTGGGAACTCGAATTTGAGAGAAAGAAGAGAGAGAGAAAGAGAGGTAGGCTCTGAAATTGGTGAGGATATTATCGGGTGAATGGGAGAGAGGTTGGGAACTCGAATTTGCTGCAGGAGAGAAGCTGAAATTCATGTGAGGGGGGTAGGGAACTCGAATTTGAGAAAAAAAAGAGAGGGATAGGCTGTAAAATCTAGAGCTGAAATAGTTCAAAGAGAATTTTACTTTGTGAGAGAAACTAAAATTCAAGTAGGGGAGGGTGGGTCGAGAACTCGAATTTGAGAGAAAGAAAAGAGAGAGATGGATAGGCTTGGCAATAGGGAGCCGTGAAATTGGAGCAGATATTATCGTGAGAGTGTGCCGGGTGGAGAGGGGTGGGTGTTGTGAGCTCGTATTTGAGAAAAGAGAGAGAGAGAGAGAAAGAATATTTCAAAGATACATTTGCTGTAGGAGAGAAGCTAAAATTCATGTGAGGGGGTGGGGGTCGATAACTCGAATTTCAGAAAAAAAGAGAGAGATAGACTGTGAAATCTAGAGCAGAAATATTTCAAAGAGAAATTTGCTTTGGGAGAGAAACTGAAATTCGAGGGGTGTGTTCGAGAACTCGAGTTTGAGAAAAAGAGAGAGAGAGATAGGCTGTGTAATCTAGAGCTGAAATCTTTCAAAGAGAAATTTGCTTCGGGAGAGAAACTTAAATTCAAGGAAGCAAAAACAAAAATTTTCAGAATTTTTTTTAAGAATTTCAAAACCAAATTCTCAAAATTGAAACTTAAAAACATAAATTGGTTTCGGGAAATATTTAAAGTCCAGGGGAGTAGAAACTGATTTTTTTGTCCAAATTTTTTATTGAAAACTGAAGGACAATTAATTCTGAATTTCAAAATCAAATTCTGAAAATTTATGAAGAGAGAGTTCATACTAAGAGAGAAGAAGGATGAAAAGGAATTGTTTTAGACATCCAACAACAGAACAGCAAAAACTAAAAGAGTGCTCGGCAAGAGAAGCATTTGCTCTTTTTCGAAGGAATTTTACTCTCACTCGAACATAAACACTCTTTATTCGAATTTGAGCGAATTTGTCAGAGGTCCGGTTCATAATACGATAAAGAAATTTAGTTTCTCATCCCCCTCAAAAATTATTAGTTATTTTTTCCCTTTCTCAATTTTTTTAATATTTTTTTCTTTTGTTTTAATTTTTTTATTATTTTTTTTCTTTTTTTTTTAATTTTTTATTATTTTTTCTGACTTTCCCTTTTCAGAAACCCTTCGCATGTACACCGTCCTGCCCATTCTGAATCGCATGGCCCTGGAGGATTATGTGGTGCCGGGCAATCCGAAATATGTGATCAAAAAGAATATGCAAATCCTCATCCCCGCCGGAGCCATACATCGCGATGAACGTTACTATCCCAATCCGAATACATTCAATCCCGATAACTTCTCCCATGACAAAGTCACGGAACGTGATTCAGTGTTGTTTTTGCCCTTTGGCGAAGGACCGCGTAATTGCATCGGCCTGCGTTTTGGCAAAATGCAAGCCCTCGTCGGCCTGGCTCTGCTGTTGAAAAATTTCCGTTTTTCCGTTTGCCAGGAAACCCAAATTCCCCTGACCTATAGCAAGGAATCATTTTTGATAAGTACCGATAAGGGTATTTATTTGAGGGTTGAAAAAAATTAAAGCGGCGTAATTTTTGTAAATAATTGTAACAAACATTAAACAAACAAATTGAAATTGTAATAAAAAAAGAAAACAAAAACTGCATTGTAATCTAATGAGGGGGCACTGGTTTTATGGCTGATGACCGAACGTTAAGCGGTTTTATCAACTAATTGAAAACTAATATAGCTACAAACACAGGGTTGTCTAACCGATGAAAAATAAAGTTTCAGGGGGAAAAGGAGCCAAGAATTAAAAAATTGATAGATAGATTTTTTTTCAGATTTTTTCCACCTTGGAAAGGAGGGTTTATTGACTTTGTCATTCCGTCTGTCTGTTGAAATCACGATACAGCCCACATTATTTGACGTAGAGCGTCAAAATTTAGCAGAACAATTTGTATTGTGCCTAGGATAGGATATATCGGTCCACGTTTTGGTATAGTCCCCATATAACAGTATTCGGTATTTTGATGATTTTTGCCACATTTTTTCGCGGATTTGTCTAAAAATTGGTATTTGAGAGTCATAATGGGTTCTAGCTCCGTTGGCGAAATATTGTAGGTATAGGTCCACGTTTTGGTATAGTCCCCATATAATACCTCCCGATATTCCGTATTTTAATGATTTTTGCCTTACTTTTTAAAATAAATTTTGTCTAAAAATTGGTATTTGAGGGTCATAATGGGTTCTAGGTCCGTTGTCGAATAGGTATAGGTCCACGATTTGGTATAGTCCTCATATAACGGTACCTCCCGATATTCGGTATTGTAACGATTTTTGCCCTATTTTTCACGGATTTGTCTAAAAATTGGTATTTGAGGGTCATAATGGGTTCTAGCTCCGGTGGCGAATAGGTATAGATCCACATTTTTGTATAGCCCCCATATAAAGATATCTCCCGATATTCGGTATTTCGATTGTTTTTGTCACATTTTTTCACGAATTTGTCTAAAAATTGGTATTTGAGGGTCATAATGGGTCCACATTTTTATATAGCCCCATATAACGGTACCTCCCGATATTCGCTATATTGATGACTTTTGCCACATTTTCCCACGAATTTGTCTAAAAATTGATATTTGTGGGTCGTAATGGCTTCTAATGTTTCCATTACCCTAATGTGGAGGGTATTAAAAGTTCAGCCCGGTCTAATTAAATTTTTTTTTACTTATTTAGATATTCTTTGGGGCTACAGACTTACAGACTTTTTTCTTTAGGGCACAGATAATTTTTAGGTATTTTTCAAAGCCAATGGAGAACATCAATTTCCTACTTTTTTTCAATAATTTTCTAAAAAGTGCTGTCTATAGTTTTAAAAAAATATTTTCTCTGCCAAAAGAATCTGCAAACTAATAAAAATTTCAGGGGATATGGAAATCTTGGCCTATATATTTTTTTTTTGTTTTTTCGTTTCTTTCTAAGTTTGTTCGGAGTACATGAGTTCTGTACTTAGGTTTTTTTATCAATATATTAGACAAAGCAAAAAAAAGGAGTTAATTTTCGAAATTCTACATGGGTTATATGATAATAAAATATTTGTTGATTAGATAACAAAATATTGAGTTTTACCAATGTCTAATACACATTGCCTTCGGACATTTAATACACAATTAATCATGTCTTTGTACAAAAAAAAAAAAAATAAAATATTTTTTTAATTTAATTTTTATAATGTTTTATTTTTTATTTATTTATTTATTTTATTTTATTTTTTTATTTATTTATTTATTTTATTTTTTTTTTTTTTTTTGATGTCTAATATATTTTGCAGGCATGGATTTTGAAAATTCTCTCTCATATTGACATCTTTATTCGAAAGGTACTGTTTATAAACAAACCAGATTAATTGTTTCCTAGCATGAGTACGGATGCACGTACAACAATTCCAATTGTGTATCTATGGACCATGATATCATCAATTTTGATAAAATGAAGGCCTCATAATTAGCAGGCCTTTTATCGATATATTTGATTAGATTAAAGCCATAGGTGTTCATCCACACACGCTGCCGTAATATCAAACTTATCTCTGATCTCTTTCAGCTCTTTTTCAGTCATCGGTTGTTAAACAAGCAGACATTAGTCTTCCACAAATTCTCTCTCTCTCCCTCATATTTTTGGAGACCTATGATTCAAACACACAATGTGTAGGGAGCAAAGTTATATATAGGTTAGAAAAGAAAGCTTTAATGTATTACCCATTGCATTACGTTACTCATTACTGTCGGAGATGCAAGTATAATTTAATCATCATAAGGGCCTTAATATAACAAATAAAAAAAAAAACAGTAAAGAAAATCTTAAAATCGGAGTGCATATTACGGCTGTGGGTAACAAATATAACAAATCGGATGAACAATAGATATGGGAGCTATAGCTATATCTGAATCGATCTTCACCAAACTTGACATACTAGCTTCTACACTCAATTCGGTCGTAAGTGCCAAATTTCATCCCATTTGGACAAATATTAGACGTTTGGTGCACAATAAAATTTAAATCGGACGAAGTTATATATGGGAGCAATAACCAAATCTGAACCGATCTCGATAAAATTTGGCAAAGATATTTCTGAGCTGTATTTGATATATTTCCCTGAATATCGTTGTTACGGAGTACATATTACGGCTGTGGGTAACAAATATAACAAATCGGATGAACAATAGATATGGGAGCTATAGCTATATCTGAACCGATCTTCACTAAATTTGACATACTAGCTTCTAGACTCAATTCAGTGGTAAGGGCCAAATTTCATCCCATTTGGACAAATATTAGACGTTTGGTGCACAATAAAAAGTAAATCGGACGAAGTTATATATGGGAGCTATATCCAAATCTGAACCGATCTCGATAAAATTTAGCAAACGTATTTCTGAGCTATATTTGATATATTTCCCTAAATATTCCTGCTACGGAGTGCATATTACGGCTGCAAAGGACAAAAATAACAAATCGGATGAACAATAGATATGGGAGCTATAGCTATATCTGAACCGATCTTCACCAAATTTGACATACTAGCTTCTAGACTCAATTCGATCGTATGTGCCAAATTCCATCCCATTTGGAAAAATATTAGATGTTTGGTGGACAAAAAAAAGTAAATCGGACGGAGCTATATATGACAGCTATATCCAAATGTGAACCGATCTCGTTAAAATTTAGCAAACGTATTTCTGAGCTGGATTTGATATATTTCCCCAAATATTCTTGTTACAGAGTGCATATTACGGCTGCGAAGGACTAAAATAACAAATCGGATGAACAATATATATGGGAGCTATAGCTATATCTGAACCGATTTCCATCAAATTTGGCATACTTATTTTCAGGCCTAATTTGGTTGTATGTGCAAAGATCCATACTATTCGGGCTGATATTACACGTTTGGTGCACAATAAAAGGGTTCGTCCTTGGGCCAAACAAATGATCTGTGAAAAATTTCATCTGGATAGGGCAATAAATGCGAACTGTACTTTGTTTACAAAAATACATGGACAGACGGACGAACGGACGGACATGCATAAATCGACTCAGAATGTGATTCTATGCAGATCAGTCATCAAAAGGAACTATGGGTCTATCTCGTTTCCTTTTGCCTGTTACAAACAAATGCACAAAGACATAATACCCTGACCACCTTGTGGTGTAGGGTATAAAAATTATATATACAGGGTGAGTTAAAAAAACTGCAACCAAGTCAAAAGCCACAGTTTTTACTTTTTTTTTAAATTTTATTGAAAGAAAGCAAAAATATCGGAAATAGCATCAAATTGTAGAATAAGTTTAGATTTGCTCGAATTGGTCACCTTTGCCACGAATTATGACCTTCAAGCGGCCAATGAAACCGTCACACGCTGCCAAATGTTGCTCTGCCGTATTCTGGCCCATTTCCGGCGAAGCGCTTGCTTGAGGTGATCGACACTTTGGTAATATTTAGTGCCAACCTTGTTTTCTAAAATACTCCAGACACAATAGTCCAGCGGATTGGTATCCAGACATTTAGGCCGGTGGCCATTGTTCGCTGGAAATGAAGCGAGGAACCTCATTTTGCAACCACTCTTGGCTGGCGCGTGCTGAGTGCGCTGAGTACTGAGTCCTGTTGGAATGTCCAAGGTCTGCGGCAAAAATGTTTGCGTGCCCAAGCCTTTAGTACAACCTCCAGAATATCCTCGCTATAAGGTCTGCGGCCAAAATAATATTCGGCATTTACTCTGATTAATACGAGCGGAGAGTGACCATCGGCTGTTATGGCGGCCCACACCATCACCATTGCCGGCGCTTGAGTTCTGGTGGGCAACCGAAGTAGCACATTTTCAACTGACCTCCTTGGCAAGTAAACACGAGCGGATCATTTTATTTGTTTACAAACTGCTGCTGGACAAGGAATGTTTTCTCATCGGAGACGGAGAAAACTAAATTCGGCAGTTCACCACTTTCGGCCAAGCAAAGCAACGTTTAAGCTCTTTAGAGTCTATTTTCTTTCTGTTGCGGTGTAAGTTCTTGGACTTTTTGGAATTTCAATGACATCACCCCGAGCTTCATTCATTTTTCAATATTTGCCGAATGGAATATTGCGATACATTCAGCTCACAAGCCATTTTTAGGCCTTGCCACTGCGACGCGGGTTTCGATCAAGTCGCTTCTTTAATTTTCGAACCATTTTTGCTGATGTTGCTGTTTTATTCCGTCCACTTCCTTGACCTTGGGTCTACGTCACCAGTATCACGGTAACGAGCAATGGTACGAGACACAAAAGATTTATTCACATTTCAAAGCTGGAGTGCTCTGACGATAGCCACTTGGGGGTTTCCAGCCAAATATAAAGAAATCACGCTTGAATTCCATCACGAATAACTTTTTTTCTGGAAAATTCTCACCAAAATGCTTTTGTACGCTTGTAAACAATATAATGACCTGTCACCGGAATAATTTTCACAGATGTCGGACGAGTGGCTTAGAAATGACAGCAGTCTGAAGTAGGTTGCAGGTTTTTCATCTAACCCTGAATATATTGGTTTTTTTGACTTTAGTTCAGGAACAGCTGTTTTATTTCAAAAATGTATTTTTTTAGCATTCCATGCCATCAGAGGCCCGCTCCGGGCTCACTCGCAATTTCATATCCACCTCTGGAAAAATAATTTTTATTTTAATTTCACGCAAAAACGTAGTATCTGTTTAATCGATTCGAGTGCGAATAGACAAAAGCTCCACAGCGGTGAGAAAAAGCTTTTATTTTTTGTTTGGGAGAGGGAGAGGAGAATAAGATGTCATGTCATTTCCAAAAGCTTTTCATCTCTTTGCCTCCGCAGCTCAGCTTTTGGCCAAACAACAACACTCAGTGCAAAACTACGATTAGTCTCAGAGGCATTCACGCTCACATCGCACGTCGAAAAAAAAAATGTGGCTCTCCGGCATTCTGGTGGGGCTTGTTGTCACCCTGATTAGCTACCTGGTGCTGCTAATGAAACGACGCCTCAACTACTGGCATTCGCGCAATGTTCCATGTGAAAGACCCAGCTTGCTTCTGGGCAATTTCAAGGGTATGAGAACCAAGTACTCTTTTCCCGAAATTTGGATGAATTACTACAAAAAGTTCAAGGGATCTGGGCCATTTGCTGGATTCTTTTGGTTCTCGCATCCGGCTGTTTTCGTTTTGGATTTGGAATTAATTAAAAACATTCTCACCAGGGATTTCAATAAATTCATGGATCGTGGTTTCTTTCACAATGAACAGGATGATCCGCTGACGGGGCATTTATTTTTCCTCGACGGCCTGAAATGGAAATCGTTGAGACAGAAGCTGACACCCACCTTCAGTTCGGGTAAAATTGCCAAAATGTTTCCCATGGTTAAGAATTTGACGGGACGCCTAATGGAGACCATGGAGGAGAAGCTTGAGGACTCCGAGAAGCAGGAGGATGAAAATGCAAAACATGTTTTGGAAATGAAAGATCTCTTGGCCAGATTTGGTACCGATGTCATTGGCTGCTGTGCCTTTGGCATTGATTGCAACAGTCTCTCCGATCCTGAGGCAAAATTCCACATCATGGGCCAACGTTTGTTTAGTGAGCCCCGCAATGGCCAGCTGGGTAATGCCTTGGCCTTCAACTTTCCTGAACTGGTGCAGAAGTTACACATGAAGGTCATACCCGATGAAATCAGTGAATTTTTCATGGATTTGGTTAAGAAGACCATTCAGTCGAGAGAGGAAAATCCCACGGAAAGGGATGACTTTTTGGCCCTGCTCATGGAGTTGAGGGAGAGCAAGCAAATCAAAACGGAAGATGGAGAGGAGACAAAATCCCTTACCTTGGAGGAAATTGCGGCCCAAATTGTCTTGTTTTTCTTGGCAGGCTATGAGACCTCCTCCACAACAGTGGGGTTTGCTCTTTACGAATTGGCCCGGCATCAGGAGATACAAAATCGTTTGAGGCAGGAAGTCAACGAAATATGGGTGAAATATGGCAAGGATTTTACCTATGAAAGTGTGAAGGACATGACCTATCTGCAGCAGGTTATACAGGGTAGGTCAAAATGGAATTTCCAAAAACAACAAAATTATTAAAAATTTTTTATTTTTAGAAACCCTACGCCTCTACATACCGGTGCCCGTTCTGAATCGCAAATGCCTGGAAGATTATCCGGTGCCCGGTCATGATGAAAAATATCTCATCAAAAAGGGCATGAATGTCATCATACCCGTGCTGGCCATACAGCGGGATGAGGAATTCTTCCCCCAACCCGAAGAATTCAATCCGGATAACTTTGAAGCCAGTCGTTGCAAGGATCGAGAATCAGTCGTCTACATGCCCTTTGGGGAGGGTCCACGCAACTGCATTGGCAAGAGATTTGGTGAAATGCAAACAGGCTTGGTTCTGGCCACTCTCATTAAAAAATTCAAATTTTCCACTTGCCCCCAAACTCAAATACCGGTGATCTTTAACAAGGAGACTTATTTCTTGGGTGCCGGCCATGGCATCCACTTGAGGGTGGAGAAGATTTGAGAGAACGAGATAACGAAATCGAAAATTAATTTATTTTTTATATTTTTTATTATATGTCTGAAAGTGTGTATCTGGTCAATGTTAAATAGAAGTGTTATGAGGTCATAATTGAATGAATTGAAGTGTGTGTGTGTGTGAGTTCATTGTTCAAATTGGCGGCATGTGTTTATTTTCAAAATCATGGAAAGTTTTTCTAGACAATTAAAGAGAATGGAGAAGAAAAACAGGGGATTTGAAAATGTTCTCTTCTTAGGAAAAGAGGAGTATTCTTAAAAACACACATTTGGTGAAAACTCGTTTTTAAAAATCATGATTTAGTGGTCTTTTGGAGAGATGTTCCTGAAAACTCCTGTGGGGTGGAAAAATATAATTCACGTTTGGTTGGGAACATATTTTTTAAAAATTGAATCCGATGATACCTCTGGAAAATATTTTACAAAAAATCCATTTTTGGTGGTGCGGAGGTACACAGGGAAAATATATTAATAAGAAATTTCTTTAAACGGATTTTTTTTTTAAAAACAGCCCCTCTGGCATTTTGTTGATGCTCTGTTATGATACACATGAAAAATACACCTTTGGTGGGGTCTAAATGTCCTTAAAAGAGGATATTTGAATCAACAACTACCTTCGAAAAAATATTTAAAAAAAAACAGGACTTCTGGCAAACTATGCTCGAAAAATTGTACCGCCTAAAATCTTAAAAAGCATCGACTTCTCGAATAGTAAAGGAATTCGTAAGGACTTCGAAAGACCATTAAAATTTCATGACTTTTAGAATCGAAAAAGAAAACAAATATGTTTACAAAAATTAAAAAATAAATATTTTTTAAGGTTTCAAAAAGTAGACGTAGATTTTAATGATATTTACAAAAAATCAAAACTTTTAGAATTTAAAAAAAAAATTAAAAGTGAAAAGAAATTAAGAATTAACTTCGGATTGGTTGATTTTTAGAGAACTATTTTTATTTTAAATCTTTTGCGAATTTTAGAAGTCTGGACTTTTTGTAAAAATCGTTAAAATCCACTATTTCCTGAAATCATAAAAAAATATTTAACAAGTAAAAAAGCTGTAAGTTCGGCCGGCCGACCTTTGAATAGCCTCGACCATTTAAAACGAATTTGGCAATTTTCAAAAAATATAACCCGTTAAAAATTCTGTTCAAATCTTAAAAATACCGAATGTAGCAGTTATGTTAGGGTCTATACGACGACGTGGACCTGCATTTTCAAGTTTTGTCTCAAGCCCTGCCAATATTCAAATGCGATACTTGAAAAAAATTCGGTGAATAATGCCGCAAAAATCATCAAAATACCGAATATCGGGAGGTACGGTTATATGGGGGCTATACGAAGACGTGAACCAGCACAGAAAATTTTTGTGTCACGGGCTGTAGTATCCATTACGAACTTCAAATACCAAATTTCATCAATCATCAATATACCGAATATCGGGAGGTGCCGTTACATGAGGGCTATACAAAGGCGAGGACTTGCACAGAAAATTTTCTGTAATAGGCTGTATTATTCATTACGAACATCAAATACCAAATTTGAAAGATTTCCAGAAAATAATGTCGCTTAAATCACAAAAATACCGAATATCGGGAGGTACCATTATATGGGGGCTATACTAAAACGTGGACCTATAGGGCCCATTTTCAATACCAAAAGTCCTGCAGGCATAATACACATTTAAGTAAAATTTTATCAACCTACCTCATTTCGTTCGAAAGCTAGAGTGATTTCCACAGAGGGATGGACGGACAGACGGACGGACATCGCTACATTGACATAGAATTTTATGCTGATCAAGAATATATATACTTTGTGGGGTGTAAAATGTAGATTTCGAGGTGCTTAATATACCCCCCATACTATGGTGGAGGGTATAAAAATAAAAATATTTTGGACTCCATAAAAAATATTTAAATTAAAAAAAAATCATTTTCAATATCCTCGTCTTCTAGGGTCTTTGAAAAAAATCCTTGAAATCTTCACGACTTTTAAAGTCCTTAAAAAATAGTCTCGACTTCCAGTGTGCTTGAAAAAAATTTTGAGGTTGAAAAAAATCCCTTCAAAAATTCATGACATCTATAGTTTTTCAAAAACAGAAAAAATATTTTTTTTTTACAAAGTTTCTTTCAAAATCCATGAAAATTTTTCAAAATTGAAAAATATTCTTTAAAATCAACAATTTCTAGAGGCCGTAAAAAAGTTTAAACCAACGACTTTAAACGTCTTTGAAAAATATTCCGTAAAAATGCGAACGTCCCTAAAAAAGTATTCTTTGATTAAAATTGAAAATAAAAATATTTTGGAATCCTTAAAATAATATTTAAATAAAAAAAAAATCCTTTTCAATATCTTCGCGTTTGAAAAAAAAAACTCCTTGACTTTTAAGAATCCTTAAAAATATACTTGTCTTCTATAGACCTTAAAAACAACATCGAGCTTGAAAAAATATCCTTCCAAAAATGCATGACTTTTTTAGTCCTTGAAAAAAATAAGTTTTGAAAAATATTCTTTAAAAATCTATGAAAAAAATTCAAAATTGAAAAATATTCTTTAAAAATCAACAATTTCTAGAGGCCGTAAAAAAGCTTACACCAACGACTTTAAACGTCCTTGAAAATATTCCATAAAAATGCACGACGTCCTTAGCGTCCTTAAAAAAGTATTCTTTAATAAAAATTGAAAATACAAATATTTTGGAATCCCTAAAACATATTTAAATTGAAAAAAAAATCCTTTTCAATATCTTCGTCTTTGAAAAAAAAATCCTTGAAAACTCCTTGACTATTAAGAGTCCTTAAAAATATACTTGTCTTCTATAGTCCTTAAAAACAATATTGAGGTTGAAAAAATATCCTTCCAAAAATTTATGACTTTTTTGGTCCTTGAAAAAAAAAAAGTTTTGAAAAATATTCTTTAAAAATCCATGACGTCCTCGGAAAAAATTTCAAAATTGAAAAATATTCTTTAAAAATCAAGAATTTCTAGAGGCCGAAAAAAGTTTAACCCAACGATTTTAAACGTCCTTGAAAATATTCCGTAAAAATGCACGACTTTCAGCGTATTTAAAAAAAGTATTGTTTAATTAAAATTAAAAAAAAAAATATTTTGGAATCCCTAAAAAATATTTCGATTGAAAAAAATCCTTTCCAATATAATCTTCTCCTAGTGTCCTTGAAAAAAATCCTTGAATACTCCTTGACTTTTAAGAATCTTTAAAAATGTACTTGTCTTCTACAGTCCTTAAAAACAATATTGGGGTTAAAAATATGTCCTTCCAAAAATTCATGACTTTTTTAGTCCTTGAAAAAAATAAGTTTTTAAAAATATTCTTTAAAAATCCATGACGTCCTCGGAAAAAATTTCAAAATTGAAAAATAATCTTTAAAAATTAAAAATTTCTAGAGGCCGAAAAAAGTGTAAACCAACTACTTTAAGCGTCCTTGAAAAATATTCCTTAAAAAATGGAAGCGTCCTTAAAGAAGTATTGTTTAATTAAAATTGAAAATATTTTGGAATCCTTGAAAAATATTTAAATTGAAAAAATCCTTTTCAATATCCTCTTCTTCTAGTGTCCTTGAACAAAAAATATTTCTTTAAAACCTCAAATTTTTAAAGATCTTAAAAAAATATTCAAATTACCAATTTCAATTTTATTGCGCCCATTTGTCTAATATTCGTTTAACTAGAATGGATTTCGACACATCAGAACCAATTCAGCGTAAAAGCAAGTACTTCACATTTTGTTAAAAACCGATTCACACATAGCTATAGCTCCCATACATATGTTTCATCCAATTTCGGGTTTTGAAAAAATCATAGACACCATTTTTTTTTCAAAAATTATCAATATTTTAACATTTAACATTTTCTTTATATTTCTTGCATTAAATACGCCTTATTTTCAGCGTTATACCCCCAAAGGATTTAGATTGAAACTTGGTATGACAAAGTCCACAGGAATTTTGGTTGCATCACACAACTCAAAACGGAACATCCTTAGCAGCTGAACCAAACCAACGCTGGCTTGCATTCGGCCAAAACGCATGCCAATACAATTACGTGGTCCATCTCCAAAGGGTAGATAGGTACAGGAGCGTATATTCTTAACATTCATGGGACTGAAACGTTCCGGATCAAATTTCTCAGGTTGGGGAAAATATTCCGCATCATGATGATAGCTCTCGGAGGGTATAATCACCATGGTGCCTTTTTCGATATAATATCTGGGATTTGAGGTTTCATAGCGGGCGGTGGATTTGCGAAACAGGGCTGGAGCCACGGGGTATTTGCGCAGGGTCTCTGTGGGGAAAGAGGGAAAGAGAGAGGGATTTGAAACTTTTTTCTCTTCTAGTTATTCATTTTTAAAACTCACCTGATATCACCTGATCCAGATACACCATATCCTTCATACATTCATAGCTAAAGTTCTGTTGATGTTTTTCCAGAACCTCACAAATTTCTTGCCTTAATTTATCTTGAATTCCCAAGTTCTGGGCCAATTCATACAGGGCATAACTCATCGTAGTGGAGGAGGTATCAAAACCTGCCACAAAAAACACAAAGGCCTGGGCTGCCAATTCCTCAATTGTAAACTGCTCCTCCCCCTCCTTTTCGTGGACTTGATTTTTCAATTCTATCAGCATATCCATAAAATCGCAACGTTTGACGTGTTCTCTCTCCCGATACTCAATGGTATTCCGGACAATACCCATGTAAAAATTGTGAACTTCTTCGGGTATAATTTGCATTCTCAATTTCTGGGCCAATTCGGGGAAGGCATGTATCAGACCCTCCGCAATGCGGTTGTGTCGCCTTTGGGTAAAGAATTTCCTACCCATTTCACAGAATTCCGCCGTGGGGTCTTTCAGACTATTGCACTCCAAGCCAAAGGCACACTCGCCAATAACATCGGCCGTGAAACGTCCCAGAATTTCAGTCAACTCCATTTGGCGGCTCTCATTTTCACCCACCACATTCAGGAATACCTTTTGCAACTCCTCTCCCACCCTCACCACCGTGGGATACATAATCTTCATTTTTCCCGAGGTAAATGTGGGCGACAGCTTTGTTCTTAGCCGCTTCCATTTGGGTCCATCCAAGGAGAACAGATTACCCGTCAACGGATCATCCCGGGTATTGTGAAATAGCCCCCGCCGATCGAAAGTTGTGAAATCTTTTATCAAAATATTTTTCGCCAGCTCAGGGTCTGTTACCAACACCGCCCTCTGCATGTGAAAATAGAAGCCGGCAAATGGTCCGGTTCCCTTGAATTTCGCGTAGGTCTCACGAAAGATTTGGACAAAATGTTTGCTATGCATCCATTCGTGCATATTTCCGGCGGGAATTTTTGGCTCATTGTGAGGCACTCCACGTCTCTGCCAATAGGAGAAATGGTAGTTTATCCATAGCCAGAGAAGGGGGAAGAGGGCGGCCAAAAAAGTTATCAAACACCAAACCATCGTTGCCGATCGAAGACAACCAAGCGTTTGAGAGCTCTCTGACAGAAGCATTGAGTTTTATAGGCCTACAATTGGGAGAGTTGTTCTCAGAGAGAAGAAAATAGTTTTGGCACTCTCCCTAAAAGAGATGAGTACTGAGCTCAGCTGTTTTCATTCCCGTGATGCAATAGGGTTACCAAGCTCAAATATTTTTTCCTATGCAAATCTTTCCTATACAAATTTTGGCAACCTAATTTCGAACAGTAAAATGTTGAAAAATTGAAAATTAAATTTTGAAATGTTTTCTATAAAATTTCTAACTTTTTTTATCAAAAAGAGGATTTAAATTTTTTTCTGTAGAAAATAATTAGTTTGGATAGAAAGAAATGTGGATTCAACATATTTTTTATCGAAAAAATATGGATTCAAAATTTTTTCTATCGAAAGAAATTGGATTCGAAATTTTTTCTACCGAAAAAATTGAATTTAAATTTTTCTATTGAAAAAATTTGGATTCAATTTTTTTATCCATCTATCCGAAAAAAATTTGATTCGAATTTTTTCTATCCGAAAAACTTGGATTCCATTTTTTTCTATCGAAAAAATGTGGATTAGAATTTTTTTCTATGAAAAAGAAAAATTGGATTCAAATATTTTTTCTATGATGAAATGGATTTGAATTTTTTCTATGGAAAAAAAATTATAATTACTTTGTTTTTATTTTATAGCAACTGTAATCCGTAGTTGTCGAACTCAATTTTTTTCCAAAAATAATTAAAATCTCATTTAGCTGGCAGCCAGATGTGTCGTTTATTTTTATAGACCCCAAACAAAAATCAATATCAGTAACAATCTTAACCTATTTCAAACAAAATAATTCATGTTCAGTGAAAAAAATGCAAATCATGGAAGTGGTATTGAAAATGATATAGTATTTTCAAATGTGATTAGCAAAATGTTATCAAAAATCGATAGGGTTGGGCGCAAGCCACACAAAAAAAAAATGCCGAAAATTGGCAATGACAATTTGAGGTTCCCATGCAAATATGTTATCACGAAAATGATTATTTTGGGTGCAAATGAGCAGAGCAACCAAAAGGGGACAGGCCAACCAGATAGACCCTAGAGTGCGTACAGCTCATAAAAAGCTAAAAATTGGTGAGAAAATGCATTATTCGGCAGAAATAATAAGAATGTATGTTATTTTGTTATGGTATATATTAGGCATACGAATTTTTTTTGTTCAAAGACTTACAATGAAATTTAATGTAGAATAATTCTTCCTCTAACACTTTTCGGAAAAAATGAAGTATTAAGGGAGATTTCGACCCGAATTGGATAGATGTTCAATTAACAGTAACAAAAAGCAAAGACATAATTTTTAATTTTAGTACATAAATTACGAATGCAAATTTTCATAAAACCTATTGCAGCTAGGTATACGATTTATTCTGAGACTTATATTGAAATTTAGTCTAGAATGTTTTGTTCTTTAACAATTTTCACAAATAATGAAGTCTAACGGAAGATTTTGACTCGGATTGGATATGTGTTCAATTAACCGCAAAAAAGAAAACACATAATTTTCACTTTTGATACACACATTTTTATTGTAATTTTCATAAAAACTATTATACCTAGAGATGTAGTTTATTCTGAGATGTATAGTGAAATTTTGTCTAGAATATTTGTTCTTTTGAAATATTCCACCTAGAATGACATTTTATGTTACTTTTAGACCTAAATTCGGAAACAGTCAAAGGAACAATTCAACAAAAAATAGAGCACGCTTTTAACTTCAAAATATGTCTTATATATATTCTGAATTCCCGACATTTATATATTGAATATACAAGTTTCTTTTGTTCAGAGACTCAAAATGAAATTTGATGTAGAATTATTCTTCCTTTGACACTTTACCCAAAAACTGAAGTAAAAAGGGAGATTTTGACTCAGATTGGATATGTGTTCAATTAACAGCAACAAAAAGCAAAGAAATAATTTTCACTTTTAGTACATATATTTCGAATGTGATTTTCATAAAAACTATTATACCTAAATATATGATTTATTTTGAGACTTATGATGAAATTTTGTCTAGAATATTTCTTCTTTTGATAGCTTCCGCGTAAAATGAAATTTGATGTTACTTTCAGGTGTCAAATCGAAAAAAGTCAAAGGAAAAATTTATCACAAAAAATAAAGGAATATTTTCGGTTTTTTTTTTTTTGGCAACATTGAGGAAATTATTTTTTTGCTTTACAATGGAAATTAAATTTTCCTTTCTTTGGTGACCTAAAGTGAAATTTGATAGAGATTATTTTTGACCTTGACATCATCCCTCTAAAATGATGCTTTGTCTGAGATTTTTACACATACTCGAAAAAAGTGGAAAAAAATTCATCAAAAAAAAAGGAATATTTTCCTTTCTTGGCAACATTGATGCACATATTTTTTTGCTTTACAATGGAAATAATGATTTCCTTTCTTTGTTAACCTATAGTGAAATTTGATGAAGAATATTTTCTTCATGAACATCATTCCTCTAAAATGATGCTTTGTTGGAGATTTTCACATAAAGTCGCACCAAGTACGGTTTTAACCCCAAAATGTGTTTTCGCAATATTTATGATAAGTTTGTATAGTTATATATTGAATATACAAATCTTTTTTGGTCAGAGACTCGCAATGAAATTTAATCCAGAATAATTCTTCCTCTGACAGGTTTCCAAAAAAAAAAAAAAAGTATAAGGGTAGATTTTGACTCGGTTTGGATATGTGTTCAATTAAGAGCAACAAAAAGCAAAGGCATAATTTTCACTTTTGGTAGATAAATTTCGAATGTAATTTTTATAAAATCTATTGGAGCTAAAAATATGATTTATTCCGAGATGTTGTCTAAAATATTTCCGATGTTGTCTAAAATATTTCTTCTTTTGACATATTCCGTCTAAAACGAAAGTTTATGTCACTATCAGGCGCCAAATCGAAAATGGCCGAGAAATATGTCATCAGAAAAATTAGGGAATATTTTCAGCCTTTTGACGCAAATATTTTTTAGGTATACAGTTGAAATAGAAATTTCTTTCCTTTAGTGACTTATAGTGAAATTTGATAAAGAATATGTTTGTCTTTGATATTATCTCTCTAAAATGAGGCTTTGCTGGAGATTTTCGCACAAACTCGAAAAAAGTCCAAGGAAAAATTCATCCAAAAATAAAGGAATATTTTCCTTTTTTCTTGCAACATTGATGCACATATTTTTTTGATATACAATGGAAATTGAGTTTTCCTTTGTTTGGTGACTTTTAGTGAAATTTTATGAAGAATGTTTTTGTCATTAATATTATCTCGCTAGAATGATGCTTTATTGGAGATTTTCACACAAACTCACACAAAGTACGGTTTTAAAACCAAAATGTGTTTTTCAATATTTATTCGAAATTTGTATATTTTTATATTGAATATACAAATTTCTTCTGGTCAGAGACTCATTATGAAATTTGATGTAGAATAATTCTTCCTTTGATACTTTACCCAAAAACTGAAATATAAAGGTAGATTTTGACTCGAACTTGATATGTGCTAAATTAACAGCAAAAATAAGCAAAACACTGTAGTACATAAATTTTGAATCCATTTTTCATAAAAACTATTGTAACTAGATGTATGGTTAATTCTGAAAATTATAGTAATATCTTGTGTAGAATATTTCTTCTTTTGACATATTCCGCCAAAAACCAAAGTTTATGTCACTATCAGACGTCAAATCGAAAATGGCCGAGTAAAATGTCATCAAAAAAATTAGGGAATATTCTCAGTCCTTTTTGGGAACATTGATGCAAATATTTTTTAAGGTATACAGTAGAAATAGAGATTTCTTTTCTTTAGTGACTTATATTAAAATATGATGAGGAATATTTTTTCCCTTCACATCATCCCTCTAAAATGATGCTTTGTTGGAGATTTTTCCACAAACTCGAAAAAAGTCCAAGGAAAAATTCGTCCAAAAATTAAGCAACATTTTCAGTTTTTTGAGAACGTTGAGGAAACTATTTTTTTGCTATGCAGTGGAAATAGAGATTTCTCTTCTTTGGCAGCTTATAGTGAAATTTGACGAAGAATATTTTTGTCATTATCATCATCCCTCTAAAATGACGCTTTGTTGGAGATTTCCACTCAAACTCGAAAAAGTCCAAAAAAATATAAAGGAATATTTTTGGTTTTTTTGGCAACATTGATGCACATATTTTTTTGCTATGCAATGGAAATAGAGACTTCCTTTCATTAGTGACTTATAGTAAAATTTGGTGAGGAATATTTTTTTCTTTGATATCATCCTTCTAAAATTAAGCTTTGTTCGAGATTTTCGCACAAACTCGAAAAAAGTCCAAAAAAAATGTATCAAAAAATAAAGGAATATTTTCGGCTTTTTTTGGGAACATTGAGATAACTATTTTTTTGCTATGCAATGGAAATTGAGTTTTCCTTTCTTTGATGACCTAAAGTGAAATTTGATAGAGAATATTTTTGTCTTTGTCATCATCCCTCTAAAATGATGCTTTGTTGGAGATTTTCACACAAACTCACGCAAAGTACGGTTTTAACCCTAAAGTGCATTTTTGTTATATTTAAATTCCTGGCGTTTAGGTAAGATATAGACTCTTGACGTCTTCCAGGACCTATAGTAGAATTTTATAACAAATAATTTTGTGATATATTTAGACTTGCTATGAACCCGTTTAAGGGGAGTTTCAAACCATATTTTTAAAAAAAGTACCCAAAAGACCCTTTTGTTGACTCGCTTGAGGGTTAAAATTTTTAAGAAAAATATTTATTGTATTTTTATCAAAAATATTGCCCAAGACACTATATACCTAAAATGCATGAATTCCGAGGAATCCTAATCCGAAAATTGCCAAAAATTTGTGGAAAAGGGAGGCAACCTGCCTCCTCTTTTAGGGTTGCTTTGTATTATAAACTTTCAAAATTCCAATACCCATATTTTCTTTTTTATAGCTCTACTTTCATAATCTGCTGAATTTTCCTCAGTAATTATTGAAAAATGTAAAATTTTGTCGCTTTGTGTAATTTATTAAATTCTAAATCCTCCTCCTTTAACATTTCTCCACATTTAAAACCACCTCATCCGGGGTTATCAACGGCAGTCTTAGATTAATTCCCAATGGCGTGGGCGTCTTCGGTGTCAAAGTGAAACGATAATCCCTTAGAAGAGCTATGAGCAGGACACGAACTTGCATTTTACCAAAACGCATGCCAATACAGTTCCGAGGACCCTCTCCAAATGGCAGCCAGGTGAGAGAATGGCGTTTTTGCATCTCTTCCGGCTCGAAACATTCGGGCCTGAATTCTTCGGGTTCGGGATAGATTTCCTCGTCATTTTGTATGGCATCAACGGGTATGTAGACCAGGGTACCTCGGGGTATGACATAGCCAGGGACATTGGTGTCATAGTCCACCTTGGCCATGCGTTGCAGCTGGGGCAGGACGGCATATTTGCGTAGGGTTTCTGAAAGGGAGAGGGTGATTTTTTATTTAAAAAAATTGAATTTTAAAAGGTTCAAATTTTCTCACCCATTATGACCTGTTCCAGATACTTCATTTCCTGTGTCCCCTCATAGGTTATTTGGCCCTCATACTTCCCCAATATCTCACGAATCTCCGTTCTCAATTTATCCTGCGCCCTTTGATTCCGGGCCAATTCATAGAGAGCAAAAGCCAGCGCGGTAGAGGAGGTCTCAAAACCCGCCACAAAGAACAAAAAAGCATTGGCCGTGATTTCCTTCATTGTCAGCCTCTCATTTTCATTTTTCGAATTCTTCATTTCAATCATCATATTCATGAAATCGTTACGTTTCACATTATTTTTCTCACGATATTCCACCGTCTCTCGGACAATGCGAAAATAGAACTTATTTGTCTCATCCAGCATTTCACGCATGCGCAAACGTTTGGCCAGTTTGGGGAAGGCATGCATAAAGGCGTGCACCAATTTGGGATGACGAAATTTGGTAAACATACGTTTGTTTAGGACCCTGAATTCGGCCTCGGGATCTTTGAGGCTATTGCATTCCAGGCCAAAGGCACAGGACCCTATGACATCGGTGGTATAACGGGCCACCAATTCCTTAATATCCACCTCCCTGGATTGCTGCAGCATCTCATCCAGTACCTCTCGGCAATCATTTGACACCTTGACCACCAACGAAAACATTTGCTTCATTTTACCCGAGGTAAAAGTAGGCGATAGCTTTGTTCTCAAATTCTTCCACACCGTATCCTCCAAATTGAACAGATGGCCACTCAACGGATCATCCTGGGGATTGTGGAACACTCCACGGTTCTCAAAATGTTGGAAATCTTTTATCAGAATATTTTTGGCTAAATCCAGATCCAGTACCAAGGCCACCGGTTGCACCAGCATATAATAACCACAAAAGGGTCCAGAGCCCTTGAATTTTTCATAAACCTCCCTTAGGGGTTCATAGAAATGTCTTTTCACCCCCACCCCTTTGATGTTGCCCAACAAAAATGCCGGCTCCTCATAGGGTATGCCCCGGCGGCGCCAATAAAGCATCCGAGATTTCATCCAGCCATAGATCAGGGTACACAAACCTATTACGGCATACAGAGCAATTGCCACTTCTAGTTCACCCATAATGATCCCGAAAAAATCCACACCTGATCACCTGAAAATTTCAAACCGAACTGAGCTTTAACTAACAATTTTTGTTATGCTCAGCTATTAAATAATCGTAAAAAAAAATAACAACAAATACACTGAATATTTAAAAATCTACAACACCAAACAAAAAGCTCTCAAAGATAACTAGCCCAGAACCAACCCAGCAACTCGCTCCCCACCCCTCTCTCACCCCCTCTCACACCCTCAACAAAAAAGTTATGAGAAATGGTGACAATTAAAAAGTAAATAAACCATAATTTTATTTCCACTTTGGAGTCTCATGAAACCACCATCTGCTGCCCTCCCAGTAGCTGATTAATCCAAAATAGTTTTTTGACTCAAAACGGCCAGACAAGTGAAGAAACGTCACAGGTTCACGAATGAGGTCAGTCATGGTCTAGTTTTAATTTGGCCAAATGGTTTGAGGGGTCTTCTTATCAGTAGTACAACAAAATTTTGGGCACAAACAAACCTAAACCGAACAATTTTTCTCATATCGCTAATCAGATTTTTAATTCTTCAAGAGAATAAAAAACCAAAGACTTGATTAGATAAATTATGTAAAACGGAATAGAAGTTCCAGAGCGAAGGCTGATAATTTTTCCAGGGGGCCTTTTAAGGTTTTTTAGGGGCCAAAGAATTTATATTAAAAATATTTTTTTATTTATATATTTTTTTGAAAATGAACCACCATGCCTTTGGTGGTTTTTAAAACAAATATTTTTTTAAAAAATCCATGTCTTTGGTGGTCCTTAAAACAAATATTTTTTTTAAAAAATCCACGCCTTGAAAAAACTATTTTTAAATAAATCCACTCCTTGAAAAAACTATTTTTAAATAAATCCATGCCTTTGGTGGTCCTTGAAAAGAACTATTTTTTTTTAAAAATCCACGCCTTGAAAAAAAATATTTTTTAAAAAATCCACGCCTTTGGTGGTCCTTAAAAAAAATTATTTTTTAAAAAATCCACGCCTTTGGTGGTCCTTAAAAAAATTATTTTTTAAAAAATCCACGCCTTTGGTGGTCCTTAAAAAAAAATTATTTTTTAAAAAATCCACGCCTTTGGTGGTCCTTGAAAAAAAAATATTTTTTAAAAAATATTCTTTAAAAAATCCACTCCTTTGGTGGTCCTTGAAAAATTATTTTCTTGTGGTCCTCGAAAAAATATTAAAAAAAAAAAATCCATGCCTTTTGTGGTCCTTAAAAAAAATATTTCTTAAAAAATCCACGCCTATGGTGGCCCCTGAAAAAATATTCTTTAAAAATTCCACACCATTTGTGGTCTTTGAAAAAATATTTTTAAAAAATCCACTCCTTTGGTGGTCCTTGAAAAATTATTTTCTTGTGGTCCTCGAAAAAATATTTAAAAAAAAAATCCATGCCTTTGGTGGTCCTTGAAAAAATATTTTTAAAAAAATCCATGCCTTTGGTGGTCCTGGAAAAACTATTTTTTTTTAAAAATCCATGCCTTTTTTGGTCCTTGAAAAAATATTTAAAAAAAAATCCATGCCTTTGGTGGTCCTTGAAAAAATATTTTTTAAAAAATCTATGCCTTTGAAAACATATTTTTAAAAAATCCGTGCCTTTGTTGGTGCTTGAAAAAAAAAATTTAAAAAAAAATCCATGCTTTTGGTGGTCCCTGAAAAATATTTTTAAAAAAATCTATGCCTTTGAAAACATATTTTTAAAAAATCCAAGCCTTTGGTTGTCCTTGAAAAAATATTTTTAAAACAATCCACGCCTTTGGTGGTGCTTAAAAAATATTCTTTAAAAAATTCACGCCTTTGGTGGTGCTTAAAAAATATTCTTTAAAAAATCCGCGCCTTTGGTAGTGTTTGGAAAAATATTCTTTAAAAAGTCCACGCCTTTAGTGGTCCTTGAAAAAAATATTCTTCAAAAAATCCACGCCTTTAGTGGTCCTTGGAGAAAAATATTCTTTAAAAAACCTACGCCTTTGGTTGTTCTTGAAAAAATACCCTTTAAAAAATCTACGCCATTGGTGGTGCTTAAAAATATTCTTTAAAAAATCCACGCCTTTGGTAGTGTTTGGAAAAATATTCTTTAAAAAATCCACGCCTTTGGTGGTCCTTGAGAAAATATTCTTGAAAAAATATTCCTTAAAAAATCCACGCCTTTGGTGGTCCTTGAGAAAATATTCTTGAAAAAATATTCTTTAAAAAATCCACGCCTTTGGTGGTCCTTGAGAAATATTCTTGAAAAAATATTCTTTAAAAAATCCACGCCTTTGGTGGTCCTTGAAAAAATATTCTTGAAAAAATATTCTTTAAAAAATCCACGCCTTTGGTGGTCCTTGAGAAAATATTCTTTAAAAAATCCACGCCTTTGGTGGTCCTTGAGAAAATATTCTTTAAAAAATCCACGCCTTTGGTGGTCCTTGAGAAAATATTCTTGAAAAAATATTCTTTAAAAAATCCACGCCTTTGGTGGTCCTTGAGAAAATATTCTTGAAAAAATATTCTTTAAAAAATCCACGCCTTTGGTGGTCCTTGAGAAAATATTCTTGAAAAAATATTCTTTAAAAAATCCACGCCTTTGGTGGTCCTTGAGAAAATATTCTTGAAAAAATATTCTTTAAAAAATCCACGCCTTTGGTGGTCCTTGAGAAAATATTCTTGAAAAAATATTCTTTAAAAAATCCACGCCTTTGGTGGTCCTTGAGAAAATATTCTTGAAAAAATATTCTTTAAAAAATCCACGCCTTTGGTGGTCCTTGAGAAAATATTCTTTAAAAAATCCACGCCTTTGGTGGTCCTTGAGAAAATATTCTTGAAAAAATATTCTTTAAAAAATCCACGCCTTTGGTGGTCCTTGAGAAAATATTCTTGAAAAAATATTCTTTAAAAAATCCACGCCTTTGGTGGTCCTTGAGAAAATATTCTTTAAAAAATCCACGCCTTTGGTGGTCCTTGAGAAAATATTCTTGAAAAAATATTCTTTAAAAAATCCACGCCTTTGGTGGTCCTTGAGAAAATATTCTTTAAAAAATCCACGCCTTTGGTGGTCCTTGAGAAAATATTCTTGAAAAAATATTCTTTAAAAAATCCACGCCTTTGGTGGTCCTTGAGAAAATATTCTTTAAAAAATCCCCGCCTTTGGTGGTCCTTGAGAAAATATTCTTTAAAAAATCCACGCCTTTGGTGGTCCTTGAGAAAATATTCTTGAAAAAATATTCTTTAAAAAATCCACGCCTTTGGTGGTCCTTGAGAAAATATTCTTTAAAAAATCCACGCCTTTGGTGGTCCTTGAGAAAATATTCTTGAAAAAATATTCTTTAAAAAATCCACGCCTTTGGTGGTCCTTGAGAAAATATTCTTTAAAAAATCCACGCCTTTGGTGGTCCTTGAGAAAATATTCTTGAAAAAATATTCTTTAAAAAATCCACGCCTTTGGTGGTCCTTGAGAAAATATTCTTTAAAAAATCCCCGCCTTTGGTGGTCCTTGAGAAAATATTCTTTAAAAAATCCACGCCTTTGGTGGTCCTTGAGAAAATATTCTTGAAAAAATATTCTTTAAAAAATCCACGCCTTTGGTGGTCCTTGAGAAAATATTCTTGAAAAAATATTCTTTAAAAAATCCACGCCTTTGGTGGTCCTTGAAAAAATATTCTTTAAAAAATCCACGCCTTTGGTGGTCCTTGAGAAAATATTCTTGAAAAAATATTCTTTAAAAAATCCACGCCTTTGGTGGTCCTTGAGAAAATATTCTTGAAAAAATATTCTTTAAAAAATCCACGCCTTTGGTGGTCCTTGAGAAAATATTCTTTAAAAAATCCACGCCTTTGGTGGTCCTTGAGAAAATATTCTTGAAAAAATATTCTTTAAAAAATCCACGCCTTTGGTGGTCCTTGAGAAAATATTCTTTAAAAAATCCACGCCTTTGGTGGTCCTTGAGAAAATATTCTTGAAAAAATATTCTTTAAAAAATCCACGCCTTTGGTGGTCCTTGAGAAAATATTCTTTAAAAAATCCCCGCCTTTGGTGGTCCTTGAGAAAATATTCTTTAAAAAATCCACGCCTTTGGTGGTCCTTGAGAAAATATTCTTGAAAAAATATTCTTTAAAAAATCCACGCCTTTGGTGGTCCTTGAGAAAATATTCTTTAAAAAATCCACGCCTTTGGTGGTCCTTGAGAAAATATTCTTGAAAAAATATTCTTTAAAAAATCCACGCCTTTGGTGGTCCTTGAGAAAATATTCTTTAAAAAATCCACGCCTTTGGTGGTCCTTGAGAAAATATTCTTGAAAAAATATTCTTTAAAAAATCCACGCCTTTGGTGGTCCTTGAGAAAATATTCTTTAAAAAATCCCCGCCTTTGGTGGTCCTTGAGAAAATATTCTTTAAAAAATCCACGCCTTTGGTGGTCCTTGAGAAAATATTCTTGAAAAAATATTCTTTAAAAAATCCACGCCTTTGGTGGTCCTTGAGAAAATATTCTTGAAAAAATATTCTTTAAAAAATCCACGCCTTTGGTGGTCCTTGAAAAAATATTCTTTAAAAAATCCACGCCTTTGGTGGTCCTTGAGAAAATATTCTTGAAAAAATATTCTTTAAAAAATCCACGCCTTTGGTGGTCCTTGAGAAAATATTCTTTAAAAAATCCCCGCCTTTGGTGGTCCTTGAGAAAATATTCTTTAAAAAATATTCTTTAAAAAATCCACGCCTTTGGTTGTCCTTGAGAAAATATTCTTGAAAAAATATTCTTTAAAAAATCCACGCCTTTGGTAGTCCTTGAGAAATAGTGAAAGGATGAAGATGAAAGTTTGAAATTTTGTAATGGGGTCCCAGTTGGTGATAAAGAGGTGGTCTGGCAAATATGCACTACAAGTGTTCGAAAAATACTAAATAGTACTCTATTTGATACAACTTGGTATTAGGTAAATTTGGGATTGAAATCTAAAATTTGAGTCGCTTAGAGTTGCTGTTCATGTGGAGATCGAAATGTGTACTATAATCGTACAGAAAGTACTGAATTGTACTATATTTGGCATTGGATGATGGGATAGAGATCAAATTCTGTAATTTGTTATTGAGGTCTATGTTGGTATTGAGAATTGAGATAGGGAAGTAGTTTTGGAAATGTTTACTAAAATTGTACGAAAAGTGCTAAGTGGTACTAAATTTGGTATTGGGTGAAGGGATAGGGCTTGAATCCTCAACATTGATATTGAGCTCTCTGTTGGTATCCGGAATTGAGATAGGGTGGTGGTCTTGGAAATATGTACTATCATTGTACGAAAAGTACTAAGTTCAAATTTGATATTGAGGTCTCCATTAGTATCTGGGAATGAGATATGTAGGTGGTTTCGGAAATGCGTACAACTTCTCAATGAACTAAATTTGGTATTGGATGATGGGATACTTTTATCCTAAACCTTCATATTGGGCTCTCTGTTAATATCTGGAATTGAGATGGTGATAGGTGGTTTTGGTAATGTTTACCTTTAATTGTACGACAAGTACTAAATTGCATTAAAAAAAAGGTTCATAGTTCCTATAATCTACCTAACATAAATTCGCAATTTAAAGTTTTATTTGTAATGGTGCCGACAGTGCTGCTCAAGAACAAAGGCAGCTCAACAGTCAATTTCTCTTCGCTTTTCGAAATCATCACAAAATCAGTTTCGAAGCTGGCAGAAGACTATCACAAAGAAAAATATTCTGCTACAATATTCTCTTAAAATTGTAACTTTCGGCATTTTTAAATTAATTAGCTCTCGAATTATTGAAGAGAATAACAACAGAGTAAAAAATATTTATTTTTTCGTAGATAAGTTTTCAATTGAGAATCCATACTTAACCTCAGTAGTTAACATTTTTGGCGAGTGAGAAAGATAGGGAGGAAAAATATAGTACTCTCATCAAAAGTGATTCATTCAAGTTCAAGAATGTAAACAAATACCAGTTGATATCTTCTTTAGCCATTCAATTTGGTGATAGTATTTTTATAGGGTTGCCAAAGTAACTTAAATAAATTTTTGGACATTTTTATAAATTCTTGTTTTAATTTTTTTATTTACTTATTATTGTTATTACTATTATTATTACTTTAATTATTATTATAATCATTATTATCATTATTATTATTATTATTATTATTATTATTATTATTATTTATTTATTTTTTTATTTTTTTTTTAAATAATATAGGAATATAATTTATGAACTAGAAAATTTTATATGCGGGGTTATTGTCAGTATGAAATACATCTCTTATAAGGCAAAATCCTCAACTCTCTGTAGGCCATATTTAATCTAAGGACGGTATTCACTTCCAGGGACCTTACAACACTAAGCGAACTGATGACCTCAGTTATGCAAAGGCTTAGACAAAAAATGTGCTAACATTGGCCCGATTGAAAACATACTTCTTTTCCATAAATTTCCAAATATGCCACCAATCCAATATCTCTGATCGAAAAATACCAAAAAAGCCGAAACATTCATAATTAGATATTTATCAGCTAATGAGCATTACAAATCGATAAGCAAAGAAATGTAGTCTGGGAAATAAATGTAGTACATATAAAAATCAATCAATCTAAACTAAATACCCCTCTCCCGAAGTTAAAGAAAAATTCCAACAACAACAAGAAAATGCCAAGATAATGGAAAGAAATGCACTTGAAATGTTAGCCTTTTCGTATGGTCACAGCTTAGTTTCATAAGATACGGAAATTTTTTTAAAATAGCGGTTTCCAACAAAAAGTTTGAAATAATTCAGGTAAATAATGTCGCTAGAGTATTTCCACAGACAGACGAACAAGACGGACGAACGGATAGACAGATCGACATAGAATTTTATGTTAATCATGAATATATATACTTTATGGGTTCTAATATGTATGTTTCGAGGTGTTACAATGGGAATGACAATCTTAATATACCCTCCATACTATGGTGGTGGGAATAAAAAGTATTATTTTAAAGGAATTTTTTATAAATTAAAAATTTTATTTTTTATTTTTTCTTATTTTCAATTTTATTTTATTTTTTTTTATTTATTTATGTATTTTTGTTTTTTTTTTTTTTTTTTGAAAAATGTTTCAATTTTGTTAATTCTAAAATGTCTATTATTTATTTTTTTCTTCCAACTTTTCCACCTTCAAGTAAACCCCACCCTCGGAGCCCAGCAAAAAACTCAATTTACTATAACGCATTGGGATCTGAGTTTGAGGGCAGCGGTCGAAACGGAACTTTTGCAGCAGGCAAATCAGACCTATCTGGGCTTGCATTTTACCAAAACGCATGCCAATACAATTGCGTGGACCATCACCGAATGGCAGGAATGAGAAGGGATGACGTTTTGCCACTTCTTCGGGGCGAAAACGGTCGGGATTGAATTTTTCCGGCTCAGGAAAATAGTCGCCGTCACGATGTATTGAATCGAGGGGGATAATCACGCGAAGACCCTTTTCCAAAACAATATCGGTATTCGGGACCTGATAGTCTTTGACACACATGCGCACCAGATGCGGTGTGACGGAATATTTGCGCAAAGTTTCTGAAAGAAAAATTAAAAAAAAAATTAAATAAAATTTTAAAATTGGGATTAAATAAAGAGATTTTTAGCTGATGGCGCCAATGAAGCTAGTTTTTTTGAAAGCATTAATGGAAACGTTTATGAAGGAAAAATATGCGAAATATTTTTTATATATTTTTAATTTTAATTTTTTTTATTTTTATTTTTTATATTTTTGTATTATTATTTTTTAATATTTTTTATTATTATTTTTTTATAATTTTTTTATCAGTTTTTGCCAATACGCCAAATATTTTTTTATATATTTTTTATTTTTTTAATATTTTTTATTGTTATTTTTTATATTTTTTATTATTATTTTTTAATATTTTTTTATATATATTTTTTATTATTATTTTATAACATTTTTTATATTTTTATTATTATTTTTTAATATTTTTTATTAATTTTTTTTTGTTGTTGCAAAAATTTTGCAACAACAAAATACTACGGTATCCCGAACAAACAAGCCACACTGTTCTATTTTTTATTAATATTTTTTATACTTTTTTATAATTTTTTTATTATTTTTTTAATATTTTTTATAATGTTTTTTGCAATTTTCCCAGGACATTGCCAAAATTCTTGTTCTATGGAAACATGAAATGAAAAATATTTTCTTTATAAAAATTTTCATTTTACATTTCATTCCTTTGCCAATATGCCAAATATTTTTTTATATATTTTTTTTATATTTTTTATTGTTATTTTTTATATTTTTTATTATTTTTTTAAATATTTTTTATTATTGTTTTTTGCCAATATGCCAAATGTTTTTTATATTTTTTTATTTTTATATTTTTTATTGTTATTTTTTTATATTTCTTTATTATTATTTTATAATATTTTTTATATTTTTATTATTATTTTTTAATATTTTTTATTAATATTTTTTATACTTTTTTATAATTTTTTTATTATTTTTTATAATGTTTTTTTTGCAATTTTCCCAGGACATTGCCAGAATTCTTGTTCTATGAAGACATTACATTCCTTTATAAAAAGTTGTCAGTACAAAGAGAACGGGAATTGAGACCCTGAAATAAAATCTTCAAAAATTTAATCAATTTTAAATTGCCTTTCTCACCTGATATGACCATATCCAAATATTTCATATCCTTCAGCGACTCATAGGTCAGTTGATTGTTGTTATTCCCCAATACTTCCAAAATTTCTTGGCGCACTTTATCCTGCACCTCCTGATTCAAGGCCAGCTCATAGAGACAAAATGAAATTGTGGTCGATGAGGTATCAAATCCAGCCAAAAAGAATACCATGGCCTGGGCAGCCAATTGTTCCAGTGTCAGGCCACCGCTCACATCCCCCTCATCTACTGATTGCCCCTCGCTCAGCAGCCTATCCCTCTCCTCTTTCATTTCAATTAACATATCCATAAAATCGTTACGGCGAATTTTATTTTTCTGCCGATATTCCACTGTTTCCTTGACGGCCGTCATGAAAAATTCGGCCACATCATCGCTGAAGGTTTTCATGCGCAGCTTTTGGGCCAATTTGGGTTGTGTGAACATTAGACCCTGTATCACTCCATTGTGGCGTGGCTTTTCAAAAATCGATCTACCCATTTTGCGAAATTCCGCCTGGGGATCAATGAGGCTGTTGCATTCAATGCCAAAGGCACAGGTGCCAATGACATCGGTGGTATAGCGTGCACACAAATCCTTGGCCTCCACAATGCCACTTCCATCCTCGGAATTTATGAATTTCAAACATGCCGGTTCCAATCTCTCACCCACCTGCACCACTGTGGGAAACATAAACTTCATTTTGCCGGTGGTAAATACCGGCGAAACCTTATGCCTCAACACTCGCCACCTCTCGCCATCCAAAAACAAGAGATTCGCCGTCAAAGGATCATCTCGCTCATTATGGAACAGACCACGATCAGTGAAACTTTGAAATTGCTTTATCATAATATCTTTCACAACATCCAAATCCATGACAAAGGCAGCCCTTGTTGTAAAAGTGTAAAATCCGGCAATGGGTGTGGTATTTTTAAATTTCTTATAGATTCTCTCATTGATATCCTTCCAATGATATTGGCGCCCCAGGCCCCGCATATTGCCGATGAAAGGCAATGGTTTCTCATGAGGTACATTGCGTTTTTCCCAATACGAATAGTGTTCCCTTACCCACAGCCACAGGGCTAAAGTAGCTAGCAGCAAGAGGGATAAAAATATCATTATTTTTTTTCTTTTTTATTCTGATACCCGAGGGAAACACACGTTAGAATGTTAGGAGTTTAAATCACAACTGACCGCAAAATTTTTTTGTATTGCGATTTTTTTAACCAAACACTAAAAAAATCTTGGAGCAGCAATGAAAAGAGAACACATTTTTAGATATTTTCAAAATATACAATTTATTCTCCTTCTCCTCTCACAAATAAATTAGCATATATATTCGTATTCTCCAACACCGGCTAAATAGTTTTGTTTACCTTAACTACCGCCATTAGAACAATAGACATACCACAGTAAAATACAAACTCTCCCTCTCTGATTCTTTTCCACAAAATACAATAGAACTCACCATTTAATTTGGGGCCTCTCAAATAGTAACAACAACAATCCCACATAACACAAGCAATACTCTCCCCCACTTGCCTTTTTAATGGTAAACACATGCCAACCAACTCCCCATAAAACAATAGGCATACCACAGTAAAATACTATTTCTGCCTCTCTCTCATTCATTCCCACAAAATACAATGGAGCTCACCACTTAATTTGGGGTCTCTCAAACAACAATAAAATTAACAGCAATACTCTCCCCCACTTAATTCCCACTTGCCTTTTTAATGGCAAACACATGCAAACGAACTCCCCCTTCACAGAGCAAAGCCCACACGAAAGTATTGTTTTTGCCTCTCTCTCACAATTTGCCAACACTTACTCATCGCACACAGAGGAAAACAATTATCGATCGGCATCATAATTATATCGGCGAAGGCAAAACAATACGATGTTGTTTTTATTAACCACTGAACCAACTCATCTGACTCTCTCTCTCTCCCACAAGAAAACAAATAGTAAATCATTGCCCCTTTAGTGTGTGTGGGTGGTGGTAATAACACGAATGCAATATGTGTGGAGTCCCACAATTAGAATAATTGAAATAACGAACCTAAGCAGAGAATAACAAAATTGGGAGAATATAAAAGTGTGACTCTCTGCCTCACAATAATCACAAAATGTAAACAAATGCCAAGCAAGTTATGGAGGCTAGCCACACGAATATCAACACGCAATAAACCGAATATCTCCTATCAATACAATTCCCTCCCACCTCCCCTTTACCAAAACAAATGGTTTGTGGGGTGGACATTGAGGCTTTTCAGAGATGGCAATGTTAAATTTCACATTAAATTCTAGGCATCATTTTAAAGTAAACTCTTTTGTATAAAAGAGTACCAATTTCGTATTTATATTTCTTCTGTTTTTCTTTCGTTTTTTTTTTTACTTCACTGTGTCTTTTAGACATTGAATGGACAAGAGTTTTTTGTAGAATTAGAAGAGATTTTACTCCATTAATCTGCAACGACAGATTTTTCCCTTAGGTTAAAGTTTCCATGATTTGTAGAGATTTTTTTCTTTTTGGGATAGAAAAAGAAGGCAGTTATATCGTTTATCGTTGCGATAATATGGACAAGATCTTATAATGTGTTTATGGTTAGACGTGACATATGACATAGCCATAACCATAGCTATGACCATATACACATTCAAATTAATGGATGTGCGGTACCATAAACATCTGTTATTTCTGGAAAAAAAAATCTCAAATAAATTCTAAGACTCGAAACCTGGATAAGTAATGGTGACACCTGACGTGAGCGCTGGATGGGGAAAGGGGGTGTTACTCAGGATTCGGAATGGTTCATGCAAGAATATTGAATTTTGTGCAGGAAACCTTGATAAATACCCAAGCAGGACCTATAAGTTAGTGCAAGATTACGTCTCAAGAAGATATGGAAGCTACGGCTGCAAGAGACCTTTATAAATACTCTTGCCTTTCTTTAAAAATACGCAAAGCAATGGTTGCGGGAGATAGAAGTAGTCAAGCAAGATCTACAAGAATACGAACAAGTACTTAAGCAAGTTCCACAAGGCTTCTTCTGTCAGAGATCTTATTTAATACTCAGACGGGATAAGCAAGGATATGCTAGGCTGCGAGAGACCTTTATAAGAACTCAAGCTTGATTTACGAGGATGTACAAGGTTACTTCTTTCAGAGATCTTAATAAACACTCAGGCGGGGTCAGCAAGGAGATGCTAGGCTACGTCTGTGAGAAACCTTAATAAATACTCAGGCGGGATCTACAAAAATATGTTAGACTACATCTGCGAGAGACCCTAATAAGTTCTAGCGGATGAATTTTATGCAGGAAACCTTGATAAATACCCAAGCAGGACCTATAAATCTTTCTGTCGGAGATCTTAATAAATACTCAGTCGGGATAAGCAACGATATGCTAGGCTGCGAGAGAACTTTATAATTATTCAAGTATAATTTACGAGTATATACAAAGCTACTTCTTCCAGAGATCTTAATAAATACTCAGGCGTGGTCAGCAAAGATATGCTAGGCTACGTCAGCGAGAGAAATTAGGAAATACTTAGGGAGATCTACAAAAATATATTGGACTACATCTGCGAGAGACTTTGATAAGTACTCAAGCAGGATCAGACTGCGTCTGCAGGAGACCTTAATAAGTTTTAGCGGATGAATTTTATGCAGGAAACCTTGATAAATACCCAAGCATGACGTATAAGTTAGTGCAGAGTTACGTCTCAAGAATATATGGAAGCTACGGCTGCAAGAGACCTTTAAAAATACTCTTGCCTTTCTTCAAAAATACGCAAAGCTATGGTTGCGGGAGATAGAAGTAGTAAAGAAGATCTACAAAGATACAAATAAGTACTCAAGCAACAAGGCTTCTTCTGCCAGAGATCTTAATAAATACTCAGTCGGGATAAGCAGTGATATGCCAGACTGCGAAAGACCTTTATAAGTACCCAAGCTTGATCTACGTGGATATACAAGGCTACTTCTTACAGAGATCTTAATAAATACTCAGGCGTGGTCAGCAAGGATATGCTAGGCTATGTCAGCGAGAGAATCTAGGAAATACTTAGGGAGATCTACAAAAATATGTTGGACTATGTCTGCGAGAGACTTTGATAAGTACTCAAGCAGGATCAGGCTACGTCTGCGAGAGACCTTAATAAGTATTTAAGATGGATCTACAAGGATATTCAATGCTACTTCTGCAAGAGACCTTAATAAATACTCAGGCGGGATCCCCAAGAATATACAAGGCTTCTTCTGTGGGCAAACTTAATGACTAATAAAGCAGGGTCTAAAAGGATATACAGGGCTACTTCTGCGAGACACCTTAATAAATCCTCAAGCGGGATCTACAAGGATATGGTAACCTACGTCTGCGAGAGACCTTAATAAGTACTTATGCAGGGTCTACAAGGATATTCAAGACTACTTCTCCGAGAGACCTTAAAAAGACCTCAAGCGGGATATAAAATTATACGCAAAGCTACGGCTACGAGAGACCTTGATAAGTACTCAAACTTGATCTACGAGGATATAAAAGACCTCACCTGCTAGAGATCTTAATAAGTACTCTTGCCAATCTGCAAGGATAAGTAAAGCTATGGTTCCGAAAGACCTTAATAAGTAATCAAGCAGGATATAAAAGGATACTCAAGACTACTTCTGCAAGAGACCTTAATAAACACTCAGGCGGAATCCCAAAGGAAATACAAGGCTTCTTTTGCGACAGAATGTTATAACTACTCAAGCCGGGTCTAAAAGGATATACAAGATTACTTCTGCGGAAGAACTTAATAAGTACTCAAGCAGGATCTACAAGGATAAGTAAAGCTATTGTTCCGAGAGACCTTAATAAGTATCCAAACAAAATCTATAACGATGCAAGAGATACTACTGGAAATCAAGGATTCTTTTCAGCATTCAGGACTTAGTGACCTGAATAATACTCTAAGGAAGGATGTCCCTGGTTAATTTTACTTCAGTCACTTATCATCGATCGACCCTAACTCTTAACTTGACTTTAACTGACTGTTGCAACTCTGCAATTCGATTTATTCCATCAATGTCCCTAAACAATTTGTAAATACTTTACGGCTAACAATATTTTCTTTATATCTATACTTAACATAAATCTTATTTTTCTAAGTTTATCTAAAAAAACTTAAGTTAGGCTACAGTGAATCTGTAGCCCTTCTCTATACTATTTTAATTACAAATATACTTTTAATTACGCTTATAATTATAATGTTCTCCTAAAAAATGGTGTTTTTTTAAACTGGAGTGCCTTATTTGCAACTCTGCCGTCATCCGCCCTTTTATACTTGGCTCGACTTATTCTGTTTAAAACTTCGACGATAATGAAATCGTCAATGAAAACTCAAATTCCTATTAATGAGCATTTCTTGTATTTTCTCTCTTATCTATCCATTTTGTATATTTTCTCTCTGAGAGAGAGAGAGGCCGAGAGAATTGTTAACTCTTCAAATCTCTGATTAGACAAGTGTTTATTTGTTGGCTAAAGCTTTGTCAAGTACACGAATTGGTTGCTTGTTTAAAGTGGCTCGGGTAAGAGGGGGGGTTGATAGAAAAACTTTCGGCAGTATTCCACTGACCATTAAATCGAGAACATCATTTCATCCGAATAGAATGTTGGGCCTTGTGGAAACCCTTCTCATACTTGGATTAATTTCTTTATTATTCGCCCTCTACAGCCACTATAGCTACTGGCAAAGACATGGTGTGCCACAGCAGACACCCCTTCCCTTTTTGGGCAACATGAAAGGTGTGGGCACGGAAAAGCATTTCTGTGAAATTGTCCAAGAGATTTATGGGAAATTTAAAAATAAATCTCCCATTGGTGGCCTATATGTTTTCATACGGAAATCAGCTGTTATACTCGATTTGGAGGTGATCAAACATGTGCTGATAAAAGACTTCTCTAATTTCCATGATCGTGGCGTGTTCAATAATGTACGAGATGATCCATTGACGGGACATTTGGTAACGCTGGAGGGCGAACAATGGCGGGCCATGAGAAATAAACTGAGTCCGGTGTTCACTTCGGCCCGCATGAAATATATGTTTCCCACGGTGGCAAGGGTGGCGGAGAACCTGGTCGAAGTGGTACATGAAATGCTAAGGAGCGGTAATTCGGCAGAGATTTTGGAAATGAAGGAGCTGTGTGCCCGTTTTACCACCGATGTCATTGGAACCTGTGCCTTTGGCATTGATTGTTGCAGCCTCAAAAATCCCAAGGCAGAATTTCGCCAACGTGGTCGTGCCATTTTTTCCGAACGCAGATATCATCCCTTGATCCAGCAGTTTATGTTTAGCAATCCCAAATTGGCCCGCCGCTTGCGCATGAAATTCTTTCCCGATCACATAACCAAATTCTTTTTGAATGTCATCAAGGAGACGGTGGAGTATCGCCAAGAGAATGGCGTCAAGAGGAATGACTTTTTGGATTTACTAATCGAACTGAAGGCCAAAAATGAAGAGCTGGCCCGGGGATCTTTGGGTATTGATTTGTCAAAGGGTTTAACACTAGAGCAAATGGCCGCTCAGACCTTTGTTTTCTTTGTGGCGGGATTTGAGACCTCCTCCACTACAATGACATTTTGCCTCTATGAATTGGCAAGGCATATGCAGGTGCAGGAAAGGCTGAGACAGGAGATTCTGGAAAGTTTGAAGAAAACTAATGGCGAAATAACCTATGAGGGCCTACATGAATTGCAGTATTTGGATCAGGTGGTGGCAGGTAAGTGAAATAAATTTTGTTCCTTTGATTTTTAATTGAAATTAGTTTTTCTTTTTTTTTTGAGAAGATGCAAATGAATATGAAAATGAGCTACACTAAAAAAGATTTTGAGAGACCTAAGAGAAACATACATAAAGAAATTCGGAAAGCTTTACAGGAACAACAGAAACAAGAGCTTAAAGTAAAAAACAACAAACATTGGTTCGCAAACTTAACTGAAATAGAAATATCGAATGAAATAATTATTGCCCTTCCGCATACAAAAGAGGAGTTCTCTTATTCTCAAATATATAGTAGATGGAGAAGACTGCATAAAAACCATAAGAGATAAAGACGATCTGAAAAAAAAATTATTTTTTTATTTGAGTTGATCTATTGGTGACCTAAGGAGATATCACTAAAAATTGGAATTTAACGAAGTCTTACGCATCCAGAAAGTACGGGCCTTCACCGTTGCTTAAGCGGCTCATAAGACATCGTTATATAGTATTTTAGTGGCTAGACGAAGATCAATTTCGGAAAGCTCCAATATCGGATAAAATCATACATTCAAACCAAGTCGACCCTTAATCGTCTAACCACTAAAATTGCATCTAATATGTCTGATGAGCCGCTTAACCTGCAGGAAAACACTGCGCCTACTGATTGGATGCGTGGAATTTTGTTATATTTCAATTTTCATTCCCATCTCCTGAGGCCGAAAGAGATTCTAATAGAAGACCGATAGGTATTCGGAAGGAAGGTTTTCTCAAAGAAAGCCGAAAAGTCTTTTTTATCGAAGGCCGATGGGACTTCTCATAGAAGGACGATAGGACTTCTCATAGAAGGCCAAAAGGTTTTCTCGTAGAAAGTCGAAAGGTCTTTTCATCGAAGGCCGATAGGACTTCTCATTGAAGGCCGATATGACTTCTTATAAACGCTTCTTCAAAGAGAAATTATTAAATATTCATTAAAAATAGCCCTCGAAAAAAAAAATAAATTAATTAATAGGAGGTCTGAGAGATCACACTGTGACGACGAAAATTCTTCCAGTCATTTTTGCCTCGGTAAGCGATTTATTTCAAATCAACCGTAGACACCCTTCATACGAGTAATTTGCAAGCCTGTAAGTCCCGAATCCAGAGAAGATTTCTTGTGTATTGTAGCATCCTTAGAATCCCTGTAGATTCTGTCTGAGTGCTTATTAAGATTTCTCGCAGACGAAGCCTCGTCTTATCCCGCCTGAAAACTTATGAATGTCTCTTGCAGACGTAGCCTAGCATATCCTCGTAGATCCCCATTAAGTACTTATGTATTTGTAGATCCTGACTGACTACTTAATAAGGTCTCTCGCAGACAAAGCCTTGCATATCTTTGTTGATTCAACCTGAGTACTTATTAACGTCTCCCGCAAACGTAGATGAGTTATTTCTGTAGATTCTGCTTCAGTCTTTTTTAAAGGTCTCTCGCAGACGTAGCCTTACATATCCTTGCAGATCCAGCTTGAGTACTTATTTGGGTCTCCCACAGTCATATCCCAGTAGATCCTGTTTGAGTACTTATTAAGGTCTCTCGCACATGTAGCCTAGCCTGATCCTGCCTGAATACTCACGATGGTCTCTTACAGACGTAGCTCAACATATCTTTGTAGATCCAGCTTGAGTACTTATTAAGGTCCCCCCAGACATAGCCCAACATATGCCAGTAGATCCTGCTTGAGTACTTATTAAGGCCTCTCACAGACGTAGTCCAACAAATCCTAGTAGATCCAGCTTGAAGACTTATTAAAGTCTCTTGCAAACATAGCCTAGCCTGATCTTGCCTGTATACTTATGAAGGTCTCTCGTTAATGTAACCAGGAATATTCTTTCCTGATTCCTCATGGAGTATTAATTAATTTCTCTCGCTGACGTTGCCTTGCATATCCTTGTAGATACAGCTTGAGTACTTATTAAGGTTCCTCGCAGACGTAACCTAGCATGTCCCTTTAGATCCTGTCTGAGTACTTATTAATGTCACTCGCAGACGTAGCCTAGCTTTATAATGCCTGTATACTTATGAAGGTCTCTTGCTGACGTAACCAGACATACTCTTTCCTGAGTGAGTACTTATTAAGGTCTCTCGCATTTTAACCTAGCATATCCTTGTAGATCCAGCTTGAGTACTTATTAAGGTCTCTCACAGACATATCCCTGTGGATCTTGCATCAATTCTTATTAAGGTCTCTCGCAGACGTAGTGTGACATATTCTTGTAGATCCTGATTCAGAATTTATTAAATTTTCTCCCAGACGTAGCCTTGGATATCCTACCTGAGTAGTTATTAAGGTCTCCTTCTGTCTTTGTTGATGTTGCTTGAGTCCTTATTAAGGTCTCTTGCAACCGAAACTTTACACTTCTTTGTATGCCCTGCTTCGCTTGGATGAATCCTTCCGAATTTAGAGAACTAGAGTACTTAGCCAAGTGTCCCTGGAACACCAACCCCTTGCTTCCCGTCCCGAGTACTTATTCAGCTCTTGAGTCAAAAAATCATTGTTAATCCCGAACCCAAGACTAAAAGTCTTTGCATGGCATAGTTTGTGGTACATCATAAAAGGATTCCAGAGTCGTTCTCAAATCCTGCCGTCGTTTTTCCTTTTACTTTGACATTAATACTTCTAGTCATGATGCCTAGCTGCTTATGTACCTACACCTTAACATTATGATAAAATACCTAAATTATAAAGTCATTCTCTTCTTATTTCAAAAAATATATTTTTGTACGAACCATTGGACCCTAACGAGCTACTTGAGCCTAAGAAGGAAAACCTGACGTTACAACACCAAACTCCAAATATTCAGTTGCAATCATTTAAAAACGAAGAGTTCTGCGATATATAGATTTAAAAAAAATTGCCGCGATATTTTTATTTACATTGCGTGTTCGGATCAAATTATTCAAAATTCTGTGTTGTGATGTGCAGTTTTTTTTTTTTGACAAAGTAATTAAAATTATTTGATTTTCAATTCCTGAGGAAGTTGGAAAAAATAAAAAAAATAAAAATGAATTAAATTATTTTTATTTTTTTAAAGAACTTCTGCCCCAATCCGCCTGGTATAATATAATTAACCTCAAACTTATGTTCATTTCAGAAACCCTACGCCTATATCCCGTCATACCCACGCTGCTGCGCACCACCACCAGCAATTATCGCATACCCAACTCCGACTGCATAGTGGAAGAGGGTACCCAAATTGCTATACCAGTCTACTCCATACATCGTGATCCGGCCTATTATGATCAGCCCAATGAATTCAATCCTGATAATTTCGAACCCAAACGATGTGAAGAACGTCATTCTTGTGCCTATTTACCATTTGGTGATGGGCCACGTAACTGTATCGGTTTGCGTTTTGGTAAAATGCAAACTAAACTGGGTTTGGTGGCCTTGCTGCGGAAATTCCGTTTTGAAATTTGCCCCCAAACCGAACTTGTAATGGATAAGAAAAATTTCCTGCTAACCACAGAATCGGGTGTAGATCTTAAGGTTACAATTTTGTGAGACAGGGAAATAAAGATATTATTTTAAATTTTATAATAATTAAATATTATTTTCTAAATATTTTTTTAATTATAGCTTTCTTATGGCTTTGAATACCAATGAACTTCAATGTGAGAGCTTTTTGTTTACAGTAATAATTATACAATTTATGTTATGAACAACTAATGCGCAGTTGCAAAACGATTTGAAAAGAGAAAAGAAAAAGAGGGAGATAACTTTTAAAAGTAATTGCAGTACTCGTGAGAAATAAGCAAAGAACTAATGACGAAACAATATTTTTTCCTCTAAGTTAGATTACTTAGCTACAAACAGATAATAAGGCCTAGAGGCAATTTCTTAGTTCCTGGTTGAAGATGGGACCTGGCAACAGGATAATATACCGCTCTAGGTTAGATTACTTATCTACAAACAGATATTAAGACCTTTAATTGCATATGCGTTTCCTATTGAGTTTAGTCCCACCAAAAACTCCGCATTTGGGAGAGACGATCCTAGGTCCTGATTGAAGATGAGATCTGCCAAGACGACAATATACGATTCTAGGTTAGATTACTTATCTACGAACAGATAATATGGCCTTTAATTGCATATGCCTTTCATATAGAGTTTGGTCACACCAAAAACTCCGTATTTGAGAGTGGCGATCTTAGGTCCAGGTTGAACCTGAGACCAAATTATCCAACAGGATAATATACCGTTCTAGGTTAGATTACTTATCTACAAACAGATAATAAGGTCTCTAATTGCATATGTCTTTCCTATGGAGTTTGGTTTGGTCACATCCAAAGACTCTGCATTTGTGAGTGGCGATCTTAGGTCCAGGTTGAAGATGAGATCTGCCAAGACGACAATATATGATTCTAGGTTACATTACTATCTACAAACAGATAATAAGACCTCTAATTGCATATGTCTTTCCTATTGAGTTTGGTCCCACCAAAGACTCCGCATTTGGGAGAGACGATCTTAGATCCTGGTTGAAGATGAGACCTGCCAACAGGATAATACAGCGTTCTAGGTTAGATTACTTATCTACAAACAGATAATAAGGCCTCTAATTGCATATGCCTTTCTTATAGAGTTTGGTCCCACCAAAGACTCAGCATTTGTGAGTGGCGATCTTAGGTCCAGGTTGAAGATGAGACCTGCCAACAGGATAATATACGATTCTAAGTTAGATTACTAATCTACAAACAGATAATAAGACTTATAATTTCATACGTCTTTCCTATTGAGTTTGGTTAGGTCACATCCAAAGACTCAGCATTTGGGAGAAACGATTTTAGGTCCTGGTTGAAGCTAAGACCTGCCAAAAACGACAATATACGATTCTAGGGTAGATTACTTATCTACGAACAGATAATAAGGCCTCTAATTGCATATGTCTTTCCTACTGAGTTTGGTTTGGCCAGATCCAAAGACTCCGCATTTGCGAGAGGTGATCTCAGGTCTAGGTTGAAGATGGGACCTGCCAACAGGATAATATACGATTCTAAGTTAGATTACTTATCTACAAACAAATAATAAGGCCTCTACAGGTTGAGATGAAAAAACTGCAACCAACTTCAGATTGCTCTCATTTCGAAACCACTCGTCCGACAGCAGTTAAAATTATTCCAGTGACAGCTCATTATATTGTTTATAAGCGTACAAAAGCAGTTTGGTGAGAATTTTCCAGCAACAAAAGTTATTCGTGGTGGAGTTCAAGCGTCATAGTGTGATTTCTTTATATTCGGCTGGAAAACCACAAGTACCTATCGTTAGAGCACTTCAGCACTTAAATGTGAATAAATCTTTTGTGTATCGTACCATCGCTCGTTACCGTGATACTGGCAGCGTAGCCCAACGTCAAGGAAGTGGACGGAAGAAAACAGCAACATCAGCAGAAATGGTTCGAAAAGTAAAGAAGCGACTTAATCGAAATCCGCGTCGCAGTGGCCGAAAAATGGCTCGTGAGCTGAACATATCGTAATATTCCATTCGGCAAATATTGAAAAATGTATGGAGCTCGGGGTAAAGCCATTGAAATTCCAAAAAGTGCATGAATGTACACCGCAACAGAAAGAAAATAGACTCAAAAGAGCTAAAGAGTTGCCTCGCTTGGCCGAAAGTGGTGAGCTGCCGAATTTGGTTTTCTTCGGTGAGAAAACATTCGTTGTCCCGCTTTTTGTCAACAAACAAAATGATCCGCTCGTGTTTACTTGCAAAAGAGGTCAGCTGAAAATGTGCATCTTCTGTTGGGCACCAGCCACCAGAACTCAAGCGCCGGCCATGGTGATGGTGTTGGCCGCCATAACAGCCGATGATCGCTCTCCGCTCGTATTAATCGACCGCGGCATCAGACTTAATGCCGAATATTATTGCGAAAATATTCTGGAGGGTATATTAAAGCCTTGGGCCGCAGAACTCAGCATCATCGCACTCAGCACGCGCCACCCAAGAATGGTTACAAAATGAAGTTCCTCGCTTCATTTCCAGCGCACACAGTGGACACCAAAATCTCCGGTTACCAATCCGTTGGACTATTGTATCTGGAGTATTTTGGAAAGCAAGGTTGGCACTAAAAAATACCAAAGTGTCGGTCACCTCAAGCAAGCGCTTCGCCGTGAAAGGGCCAAAATACCGCAGAGCACCATTCGGGCAGCGTGTGACGGTTTCATTGTCCGTTTGAAGGCCATAATTCGTGCCAAAGGGGACCAATGCGAACAAATCTAAACTTAATCTAAAATTAGATGCCGATTTTCGATATTTTAGTTTCATTCAATAAAATTGAAAAAAAAAAATAAAAAAATTAATGCATTTGACTTTGTTGCAGTTTTGTTATCTCACCCTGTAATTGCATATGTTACGCTTTTCTCCCAACAAAAGTATCTTCAGAAAATATGATCAACTTTTTAATCCCGTAGCAGGATCAAAAATGACTCAAATGTGATTAAAAATTTGCAAAAAAAAGTCCTGATTGGGTAATACCCCTGAAACTCCTTCTCTCTCCTCTCTGCTAGAACTTCGTATGTTATTCTTGCAAAATACCGGTTTAATATTTACCAGAAATCAATAACGAATATATTTTGTGCTCTCTCTCCCTCTCCCTCTTTTCCACACTCTATTTAAGCTCTCTCAATGATAATAGCAATCTAATCTCTGTTTGATCTCTTACCTGAGGGTAATGACAAAAATATGCCGATGTCATGATTAATGATTAGTTTGTTTATTTAAAAATTTACAAATAGTTTGCATCAACCTTTGGCGATTTTGACCCGAATGGGGCTTGATATATATTTTTAAGAATCTACGTTTGTAGCTCGGTTGGGATATTAAAAAAATATTCTTAAACGAACTGGAGGCCAGAGAGTCCCATATTAACGATCTGAAAGCCATGGAGACCAGAGAATCGATTATAGCGAGCCAGGAGTCCAGATTGACTAGCCGGAGGCCAGGTGGTCCCTTTAAGGCAAAAAGTCCATATAGACCAGCTGAAGATCATGAAGTCCATATTGACGAGCTCAAGGCACGTTTGAAGCTGGGGTGGGATATAAAAAAAATTCTACAACTTTACGATCTGGTAGCCAGAGACTCCCATATAAACGATGTGAAGGCCAAGGAGTTCATATGGACCAGCTGGAGACCAGAGATTCCATAAAGACGCGCCAAAAGACCCAAGAGTCCATATAGGCGAGACGAAGTCAAGGTAGTCCTTATAAGCCAGGGAGTCCATATAGACCAGCTGAAGATCATGGAGTCCATATTGACGAACTGAAGGCACGATTGAAGCTAGGGTGGGACATAAAAAATATTTCCAAAACTTTACGATGCCAGAGGCTGCCAGAGTTCATATGGACCAGCTGGAGACCAGGGATTCCATAATGGCGAGCCAGGAGTCCCGAGAGTCCATATGGAGTAGCCGAAGGCCAAGTGGTCCCTTTTAAGCCAGGAAGTCCATATGGACCAGCTGAAAATCATGGAGTTCACATTGACGAGCTGAAGACAGGTTTGAAGCTGGGTTGGGATATAAAAAAATATTTCTAAAACTTTACGATCTGGTAGCCAGAGACTCTCATATAGACGATGTGGAGGCCTAGGAGTTCATATGGACCAGGGATTTCATTTAGGCGAGCCAGGTGTCCCGAGGGTCCATGTTACGAGCCGAAGGCCAGTGGTCTCTTTAAGCCAGGAAGTCCATATAGACCAGCTGAAGATCATGGAGTCCATATGGACCAGCTGGAGACTAGAGATTACATAAGGGCGAGGCAAGAGGCCCGATAGTCCATATAAGCAAGCCGAAGGCCAGGTAGTCCCTATAAGCCAGAGAGTCCATATAGGCCAGCTGAAGATCATGGAGTCCATATTGACGAACTGAAGGCACGTTGGAAGCTGGTGTGGGACATAAAAAAATATTTCTAAAACTTTACGATCTGGTAGCCAGAGACTCCCATATAAACGACGTGAAGGCCAAGGAGTTCATATGGACCAGCTGGAGACCAGATATTCCATAAAGGCGCACCAGAAGACCCGAGAGTCAATATAGGCGAGCCAAAGGCCAGGTAGTCCCTATAAGCCAGGGAGTCCATATAGACCAGCTGAAGATCGTGAAATCCATATTTACGAACCGCAATAAGAGGGGAGGGGGGGGGGGGGTCAATATTCTTAAAAAATCGGAATTATATCTATAACCTTAAAAATACTGTTTTAATTATCAAAAAGAGATAGATCTTGTCTCTCTCTCTCTCCCTCTTCAACTTGTTCTCTCTGTCAGCACTTCTAAATCATTGATTAACTCGTAAATAAAGTCCCAAAGTCGGGCGGGGCCGACTTTGTGATACCCTATACCACTTTGCTAATTTAGTAGAGCTCCACATAAGAATTGAAAGTTTTTATGGGAGAATTTAATCATACAAGCTATGCCGAAACATTTGTATCTTTTAAATTCGGACTTGTATTGGCCATTTGGTGCAAAATTTATTTGAAATCGAATAAAGATATATATGGGAGCTATATCCAAATCTGAACCGATCTCGATAAAATTTGGCAAAGATATTTTTGAGCTGTATTTGATATATTTCTCCAAATATTCCTGTTACAGAGTGCATATTACGGCTGCGGGTAACAAATATAACAAATCGGATGAACGATATATATGGAAGCTATAGCAATATCTGAACCGATCTTCACCAAATTTGGCATACTAGCTTCTAGACTCAATTCGGTCGTAAGTGCCAAATTCCATCCCATTTGGGCAAATATTAGACGTTTGGTGCCCAATAAAAGGTAAATCGGACGAAGTTATATATGGGAGCTATATTCAAATCTGAACCGATCTCGATAAAATTTAGCAAAGGTATTTCTGAGCTGCATTTGATATATTTCCCCAAATATTGTTGTTACAGAGTGCATATTACGGCTGCGGAGGACCAAAATATAACAAATCGGATGATCAATATATATGGAAGCTATAGCTATACCTAAACCGATCTTCACCAAATTTGGCAATCTAGCTTCTAGACTCAATTCGGTCGCATGTGCCAAATTCCATCCCATTTGGGCAAATATTAGACGTTTGATGCCCAATAAAAGGTAAATCGGACGAAGTTATATATGGGAGCTATATCCAAATCTGAACCGATCTCGATAAAATTTTGCAAATGCATTTCTGAGCTGCATTTGATATATTTCCCCAAATATTGTTGTTACAGAGTGCATATTACGGCTGCGGAGGACAAAAATAACAAATCGGATGAACAATATATATGGGAGCTATAGCTATATCTGAACCGATTTCGTTCAAATTTGGCATACCTATTTTCAGGCCTAATTTGGTTGTATGTGCGAAATTTCATATTATTCGGTGCACAATAAAAGGTAAATCGGACGAAGATATATATGGGGGCTATATCTAATTTTTTACCGATTATCTCCACTTTTAATAGGGTTTGTCCTTGGGCCAAACAAATGTTGTTTGCAAAAAATTTCATCTCAATCGGATAATAAATGCGACTTGTACTTTGTTTACAAAAATACATAGACAGACGGACGGACGGACAGACGGACATGCATAAATCGACTCAGAATGTGATTCTATGGAGATCCTCAAAAAAAAAAACTATGGGTCTATCTCGCTTCCTTCTCCATGTTACAAACAAATGCACAAAGACATAATACCCTTACCACTATGTGGTGTAGGGTATAAAAATATTGCCGAAATTTTTAAATTATTTACATCAGCTTCGGGTGAGAGAACATAGCTTCCACTCTCTTTAACTCGAGATATCTCTTCAATACAATCAAATAAATATGCGTTGAGATATGAGGGCTTAATTGAAAATATTTGTGTCAGTTTAATCTGGCGTCTTCATTCGAAAGCACGAAAATGTTGTCGCTTGTGCAAACGATTCTGCTGGCCTTTGTTGCTGTTCTAATCGGATATTTGTACAATATCTACACCTATTGGAAGAGACGTGGCGTTGTGTACGAGAGACCATGGCCGTTGTTTGGAAACTTCTGGGGAATCGGGACCAAATATCACATCCGTGAAATAAATCAACGTTTGTATCGGAAATTCAAGGGCCAGGCCCCGTTTGTGGGTACCTATATGTTTGTGCGCCGTGCCAGTTTGATAATCGATTTGGATTTGATTAAAAATATTTTGATTAAAGACTTTGCCAATTTCCATGATCGTGGGGTGTTCAATAATGTGGAAGATGATCCGCTGACGGGTCATCTGGTGGCGCTGGAGGGTGAGCAATGGCGTGCCATGAGAACAAAACTCTCACCAGTATTCACCTCGGCTCGCATGAAATACATGTTCTCCACGGTGGTGAGAGTGGGTGAAAATCTCCATAGGGTCATGGGAGAAATGCTGAGCGAGAGGTCCGATCAGATTTTGGAAATAAAAGATGTGTGTGCCCGTTTCACCACCGATGTCATTGGCACTTGTGCCTTTGGCATTGAATGCAATAGCCTGAGAGATCCTGATGCCGAATTTCGCCAAAAGGGTAAGGATATTTTTGGTAAGCCGCGACACAGTCCCCTGGTGCAGATATTCACCATTACAAACAGCAATCTGGCCAAGAAGTTGCATATGAAGCTCTTTCCGGATGATGTGGCCGATTTCTTTATGAGCGTGATACGTCAAACTGTGGAATATCGTCAGAAAAATAATGTCAAATGTAATGACTTTATGGATCTGCTAATTGAAATGAAGGCCAAAAATGAGGAAGAGGCCAAAGCGGGTAAAGGTATTGATTTGTCACTGGGCCTGACCCTGGAACAAATGGCTGCCCAGACATTTGTTTTCTTCCTGGCCGGGTTTGAGACCTCATCGACCACCATGTCATTTGCCCTCTATGAACTGGCCAAGCATCCAGAGGTCCAGGAGCAGCTGAGAAAGGAAATTCGGGAGAGTCTGGAGAAGACCAAGGGAGAACTGACCTATGAGTCGTTGCATGAAATGCAGTATTTGGAACAAGTGATTGCTGGTAAGTGGTGATAACATTTTTTCGAATTCAAAATAAGTCCTCTTTTTACAATTGCAGAAACCCTACGCATCTATCCTGTCCTACCCAACCTTATACGCCTTACCAAATCTGACTACCAGGTACCGAATACCAATCATGTCCTGGAAAAAGGCATTATGACCGTCATACCCGTTCATGCCATACACCATGACCCCGAGTACTACGACAATCCGGAGGAATTCCGCCCCTCACGTTTCACCCCCGAGGAATGTTTGAAACGCCATCCCTCGGCTTATTTACCATTTGGTGATGGTCCCCGCAATTGCATTGGCATGCGTTTTGGAAAAATGCAAACCAAAATCGGTTTGGTATCCCTGCTGCGACACTATCGTTTCGAGTGTTCTCCCCTCACCGAAATTCCCCTCGAAATGGATAAGAGGAATTTCTTGGCGGCCACTAAAAATGGAATATTTTTGAAAGTTATACCATTGTGAGATTGTTGTAGGGGGTTCTTTTTATGGCAAAATAGATGTTAAATAAGAATTAAAAATCAAAAAAAAAAAAAATATTGAAATTTAAGAAATTCGAATTAAGATCCAGAATTGTCAAAGAAAGCCGAATTCGATACAGGTGGAATTTTACCATATGGCTAAAGAGGGGGTATATATCATTTGATACGGCCAAAACCTGCCTCAGGTTTTAGACCCTAATTGTCTTTGGATCAAATTCGTTTCAAGACATTTGGAGTCGATTTAGGGGTGTCCGTCCATCCGTCGGTCTCTCTATTTTTATGGCTACCTGGCTATTGCTCATGATAACTTTATAAGGGAGTATCCGATTCTCTCAAAACTTGGTGCAAGGAAATATTATTACCAAACTTAGATCTAGTTCGGAGATGAACAGTATCAGCCCACTCCTTCTGGTACCTGCCCCACAAAAGGTCGAAATTTTTAAAGAAAATATTTTACTGCACAGAAGGAGAAATGATCATCAAATTTTGTGCAAACTTTGCAATTCCTAATATTATTATCAGTGCTAGGTCAGGTGCGAAAATGGACAATATCGGTCTACTCCGTCAAGTACCTCCCCCATAAATGGTCAAAATTTTTAATATTAAAAACTCAAATAAAATGTAAACTAAGGGCTCGATTGTCTTCAAATTTTTCACATGCCAATATTTTTTTATCAACACAAGATCTGGTGAAAAAATGGTATATAGCGGATTCAAGTACCTCCCCCACAACGGGTCAAAATTTCGAATAATTATAACACACAAAAAATGCGATATGATTATCCGATTCCTTTCAAACTCGACACATCCCATTATTTCTATTAACACAAAATCTGCTGTGAAGATGGGATATGTCGGGCCACTCCTTCTGGTACCTCCCTCACAAAGAGGTCAAAAGTTTTGAATAACCAAAACGTTCCTAAAATGTGAAATAATTACCCGATTATTTCGAAATTCGGTACTTTCCAATATTCCTATCAACACAACATCTGGTGTGAAAATGGAATACAGCGTGTCATTCCTTCTGGTACCTCCCCCACAAAGGGTTCAAAAGTCTTAAATAACCAAAACGTTCATAAAATGCGAAATAATGATTCCATTATTTCCAAACTCGGTACGTCCCAATATTTCTATCCACGCAAAATCTGGCGTGAAGATGGAGTAGATCGGGTCACTCCTTCTGGTACCTCCCCCCACCAAATGTCAAAATTTTGAAAAATTAAAACTCTTATAGAGCACGAAGTACACATCTGATTGTCTTCAAATTTTACATATCCCAATATTTCCATTAACACAAGATCTGGTGTAAAGATGGAAAGTATCGGATGACCCCTTCTGGTACCTCCCCCACGAAGGGTTCAGAATTTTGAATAATTAAAACTCTCATAAAGTACGAAATAAACATCAGATTCTCTTCAAATTTCACACATCCCAATATTTCCACTAACACAATATCTGGTGTAAAGATGGAAAGTATCGGATGACACCTTCTGGTACCTCCCCCACAAAAGGGTCAAAATTTCGAATAACGAAAACGTTCATAAAATGCAGAATAAGTATCCGATTACTTCCATACTCAACACATCCCAATATTTCTACTAACACACGATCTGGTGTAAAGATCAAATATATCGGCAACTTCTTTCTGGTACCTCCCCCACAAAGGGGTTGAAATTTTGAATAATTGTATCTGTCATAAATTGCGAAATAGTTATCGGATTCTCCCTAAATTACATCCGTCCTAATATTTTCGTTGACACAATATCTGATGTAAAAATGGAATATATCGGGCCACTCCTTCTGGGACCTCCCCCACAGAAGGGTCAAAATTTGGAATAAATAAAACTCTTATAAATCACGAAATAAACATCTGATTCTCTCTAAATTTCATACATCCCAATATTTTTAGTAGTACAAAATCTGATGTGAAAAGGGAATATATCGGGTCACTCCTTCTGGCACCTCCCCCACAAAGTGGTAAAAATTATGAATAATAAAAACACTTATAAACTACGAAATAAACATCTGATTCCCTCCAATTCCCTTCAATTTCACAAATCCTACTATTTCCATTAACACAAGATCTGGTGTGAAAATGTGAAAAATCGGAGTACTCCTTCTGGTACCTCCCCCACAAAGTCAAAAGTTTAAATAATCAAAACGCAAGTCAAAATATATTTAAAATAAAAACTGACATTGGCTGAGGAAATGCATCTGTCGGAAATTATTTTAATAACAATTTTTTATTTATTTATTTTTATTTTTTTCTACGGATTTTTTAAATTTTTCTTTTTCAAACTCCCCAAAATGACGTCAATTTGCGATTCTTGGCTTCCTAATCACCTGTTCATTAATTCTCTTTAATAAAGAGTATTTTTGTACTCTCTCTAACTCTGAGAGTATGTAATTCTCTCTCATATTGGCTTATGCTCTTTGAGAAAATTATTGATTTTTCGATATGCAATGGGAAAATTCTCCTCCTCAGTTATTCTCGAACTCTTGCCGCGACCGGGTGGCGTACTGTTAGCTTCGTGAACAAAATGTTTGCCCTGCTGCTGTTATTCTGCATTTGTTTGCTTGTGGGCTATCTCCTCAACCTCTACACCTACTGGGAACGGCAAGGGGTGCCACATGAAACACCCATTCCATTGCTGGGTAATTTTAAAGGCATCGGATCAAAATATCATGTTCGAGATATAAATCAGCGATTGTATCGGCGATTCAAAGGCAAGGCCCCCTTTGCGGGTGTGTATATGTTTGTGCGCCGGGCTGCATTGGTCATCGATTTGAATCTCATCAAAAATATTATGGTAAAGGACTTCGCTAATTTCCATGATCGTGGAGGGCTGAGCAATGTGGAAGATGATCCGTTGACGGGTCATTTGGTCTCACTGGAGGGAGAGCAATGGCGGGCCATGAGAACAAAACTAACACCAGTGTTTACCTCGGCCCGCATGAAATATATGTTTCCAACTGTGGTAAAAGTGGGTGAAAATTTCGCCCGAACCGTGGGTGAAATGCTCGAGGAGGGGAGTGGCACTCAAATTTTGGAGATACGTGACCTCTGTGCCCGATTTACCACCGATGTCATTGGCAACTGTGCCTTTGGCATTGAATGCAACAGTCTCAAGGATCCCAATTCAGAATTTCGCCTCAAGGGTAAGGAGATTTTCTCTCGGCCCCGCAATGGACCTCTGCTACATCTCTTTGCCATAACCAATGACAAATTGGCCAGTAAATTCCACATGAAAATCCTACCCGATGACATAACGGAATTTTTCATGAGTCTGGTACGCCAGACGGTGGAGTATCGCGTGAAAAACGAGGTGAAATGTAATGATTTTATGGATCTACTTATCGAAATGAGGGCCAAGGATGAAGAATTGGCCCGGGCTTCAAAGGGCATAGATTTGTCGCATGGCCTAACGTTGGAGCAAATGGGGGCACAGGCCTTTGTTTTCTTTTTTGCTGGCTTTGAGACCTCCTCCATTACCATGACATTTGCTCTCTATGAATTGGCTAGGCACCAGGAGGTCCAAGACAGGCTAAGGAAAGAAATTTTGGAGAGCCTCAGAGAAAACAAGGGGGAACTGACTTATGAGGCAATTAACAATATGGAATATCTGGATCGTGTGGTGGCGGGTAAGTTATATAAAATGATGGAAATTTTTCGAATAACCTCACTTTTTCTCTCCCATGCCTTTACAGAGACCCTACGTTTCTATCCCCCGCTGGCGACGGTGGTGCGTGTTACCAAAAATGACTACCAAATACCCAATACCCGTTACGTCATCAAAAAAGACATAATGACCATAATACCCATTCATGCGATACACCACGATCCCCAATATTATGCCGAACCGGAGCGTTTCAATCCCGATCGTTTCACTCCCGAGGAATGTTTGAAACGTCACCCCTCGGCATATTTGCCATTTGGTGATGGCCCACGCAACTGTATTGGTTTGCGTTTTGGAAAAATGCAAGTGAAAGTGGGTTTGGTATCTCTGCTGAGCCACTATCGCTTTGAGTTTTGCCCGCTGACCGAGCAGCCATTGCAATTTAATAATCATCACATGATGGTGGCGCCCAAGAATGGGGTGTATCTTAAGGTGACGCCGGTGTAGGGAGAGAGAGAGAGAGGTACCAGGTTAGCCACCAAAATCCCACCGGTTTAAAATAGTTCCTTATATGTTATAATGTATTTAATGGTCATAATTATTGTCGAACAATTTAATAATAAATAAATTTTATTTTTTTTTTCTCATTTTCTTCGGGAAAATATCTGTTCTATGAAAAAAAATTGAAAGGGAATTGTTTCTTTCTTACATTTCATAGAACAGGAATTTTCAAAAACCCTCGTGGTTTTTATACATAGAGGTTCATTAGAGCTTAAAAAATATTTTTTAAAAAGTCCATGACTTTAAAGAAACTTAAAAAATATATTTTAAAAAATCCACGACTTCAAAGAAATTTGAAAAATATTTTTTAAAAAATCCACGACTTTAAAGAAGATTGACAAATATTTTTTAAAAAATCCACGTCTTTTTAGGAGTTGGAAAAAATATTTTTTAAAAAATCCACGTCTTTTTAGGAGTTGGAAAAAATATTTTTTAAAAAATCCACGACTTTAAAGAAACTTGAAAATTATTTTTTAAAAAATCCACGTCTTTTTAGGAGTTGGAAAAAAATATTTTTTAAAAAATCCACGTCTCAAGAGAAGCTCGAAAAAATATTTTTTAAAAAAATCCATGCCTTTTTAGGAGCTTTAAAATTTTTTTTTAAAAAAATATACGCCTTTATAGGAACTTGAAAAAAATATTTTTAAAAAATCCACGCCTTTATAGGAACTTGAAAAAAATATTTTTAAAAAATCCACGCCTTTATAGGAACTTGAAAAAAATATTTTTAAAAAATCCACGCCTTTATAGGAACTTGAAAAAAATATTTTTAAAAAATCCACGCCTTTATAGGAACTTGAAAAAAATACTCTTAAAAAATCCACGCCTTTTTAAGAACTTGAAAAAATATTTTTAAAAAATCCACGCCTTTGAAAAGAATTTAAAAACAAACACGCCTATAGGGGCACTTTAAAAAATATTTTTAAAAAAATTACGCACTTGAAAAAACATTTTTTAAAAATCCACTCCCTTGAAGGAACCTGAAAAACATTTTTAAAAACAAACACGCCTATAGAGGCACTTTAAAAACTATTTTTAAAAAAATTACGTACTTGAAAAAACCTCCTCTAAAGAAGCTCGCAAAAATATTTTATAAAAAAAACCACGGCTTTAAAGTAACTAGAAAAAATATTTTTTTTAAATCCACGCCTTTAAAGTTACTAGAAAAAATATTTTTTTTTAAATCCACGCCTTTAAAGTTACTAAAAAAAATATTTTTTTTTAAATCCACAACTTTAAATTAACAAGAAAATTTTTTTTTAATCCACGCCTTTTTAAGAACTTGAAAAAATATTTTTTTTAATTCACGTCTTTTTATGAACTTGAAAAAATATTTTTTTTTAAATATCGGCGACTTTGAAGGAACCTAAAAATATTTTTTTTAAAATATCGACGCCTTTGAAGGAACCTAAAAATATTTTTTAATCCACGCCTTTTTAAGAACTTGAAAAAATAATTTTTTTAATTCACGTCTTTTTATGAACTTGAAAAAATAATTTTTTTAATTCACGTCTTTTTATGAACTTGAAAAAATATTTTTTTTTAAATATCGGCGACTTTGAAGGTACCTAAAAATATTTTTTTAATATATCGACGCCTTTGAAGGAACCTAAAAATATTTTTTTTTTTTAAAAATCCACGCCTTTGAAGGAACCAAAAATATTTTTTTAAAAAATCTACGCCTTTGAAGGAACCTAAAATATTTTTTTTAAAATCCACGACTTTGAAGGAACCTAAAATATTTTTTTTAAAATCCACGCCTTTGAAGTAACCTAAAAATATATTTTTTTTAAATCCACGCCTCCAAAGAAGCTCGCAAAAATATGTTTTTAAAAATCCACGCCTTTGAAGGAAACTAAAAATATTTTTATAAAAAATGCACGCATTGAAGGAACTTAAAAATATTTTTTTAAAAAATCCACGCCTTGGAGGAACCTAAAAATATTTTTTAAAAAAATCCACCCCTTTGAAGGAACCTAAAAATATTTTTTTTTAAAAATCCACGCCTTTGGAGGAACCTAAAAATATTTTTATAAAAAATCCATGCCTTTGAAGGAACCATAAAATATTTTTTTAAAAAATCCAAGCCTTGAAGGAACCTAAAAATATTTTTTTTTAAAAATCCACCCCTTTGAAGGTACGTAAAAATATTTTTTTAAAAAATCCACGCCTTTGTAGGAACTTAAAATTTTTTTTTTTTTAAAATTTACGCTTTTGAAGGAGCCTAAAAATATTTTTTTAAAAAATCCACGCCTCCTCGCAAAAATATTTTTTTAAAAAATTCACGTCTCCAAAGAGGAATAATATTTTTTTTTTTAAATACACACATTTAAAGGAATCTGAAAAATAAATGTTAAAAAATCCTTGAACTTAAATTTGAAAAAATATTATTTGAAAAATCCACGCCTTTAAAGGAACTTGAAAAAAATATTTTGTAAAAAATTCATGCCTTTTTTACTTTTCTTCTGACATTTCCCCCGAAAAAGGTTTTTTCTATTTATTTTTCCAATATTAATTTTTTATTTTTCACATTTCAAATCGACAACTCGCACGAAAATACCATTTTTGGAACCGACAAAAAAACTCTTCTTGTCCAACTCCAGGGGGATTTCGGTAAGGGGACAGCACTCGAAACGATAGTGTCTGAGTAGAGAAACCAACCCGATTTTGGTTTGCATTTTTCCGAAACGCATGCCAATGCAGCTGCGTGGCCCATCGCCAAACGGCAAATAGGTGGAGGAATGACGTCTTTCACATTCCTCGGCCGCGAAACGATTTGGATTGAATTCTTCTGGATTTTCATAGTACTCAGGGTCATGGTGTATGGCATGGACAGGTATCACCACCTGAATATCTTTTTCGATTATGTGTTGGCTATCAGGAACAGGATAATCTCGGTTGGCCACACGTACCAGAGTGGCAAGAACGGGGTATAGGCGAAGGGTTTCTGTGGGGAGAGAGGGGAAGTACATTTGAAAAATGAAAGATTGATTTTAATTATTTTCTCACCCGATATGCTCTGCTCCAAAAAGGACATTTTCTGCAACGCCTCATAGCTAAGCTCGTCATTAGAGTCCTTCAAAATATCCAAAATTTCCGTTCTCAATTTTTCCTGAATTTCTGGATTTCGAGCCAATTCGTAGAGGGTAAAAGCCATGGTAGTCGATGATGTCTCAAATCCGGCCAAAAAGAAATCAAATGTCAAGGCAGCCATTTGTTCAAAACTCAAACCCTCCTCCCCCTCCTTGGCCCGAATTTCCATTAGTAGATCCATAAAATCATTACATTTAACTTGATTCCGCTCACGATACTCCACGGTCTGGCGTATAACGCTCATGAAAAATTCCGTCAATTCATCGGGAAATAATTTCAACCTCAGGCGCTGGGCCACTTTGGGATTGGTGATGATCAGTAACAGCAGCAATGGATGATGCCTGGGCTTGGTAAAAATATCAATACCCCTCTGCCGGAACTCTGCCCGGGGATCTGTGAGGCTACTGCACTCAATGCCAAAGGCACAATTGGCAATGACATCTGTGGTGTAGCGGGAGCAAAAATCTTTGATTTCCAGCACCTGATCCTTGGGACTCTCCCTCGAAATTTCACCACGAATGGTGTCTGAGAGAATTTCACCCACTCTCACCACGGTGGGGAACATATATTTCATGCGGGCCGATGTAAAGACCGGTGTGAGTTTGGCTCTCAACGCTCGCCATTGCTCCCCCTCCAAATTGCTCAGATGCCCAGTGAGCGGATCATCTTCCACATTATGGAAACCTCCACGATTTTGAAAATATGCGAAATCTTTAATCAAAACATTTTTAATTAAATCCAAATCGAGTAGCAGGGCAGATCTCTGCATGAACATATAGGAACCCACCATTTGGGCCTTGCCTTTGAATTCGCCATATAAACGCTGATAGATATCGCGTAGGTGGTGGCTGGTGCCAAGGCCCTTGAAGTTACCCAGCAATGGCAATGGAGTTTCTTGTAGAATTCCACGTCTTTGCCAATAGGTGTAGAGGCGATATAAATACACCACGAATAATGTTAGGGAGCCCAAAAGTAGGACAACGAGTGGACAGCACATCATTATTGGAGACAAAAATAAAAATAGGTCTTGGCTCTGTAACAGATCGATTCGAACTAAATCTGAGAGCGGCGCAATGACTGGCATTTGTTGAAAATTTTCGAAACTTTATTTGAGCGAAGAAGAGAAAATGTTTTACTCTTATCGCTTGAAGAGAATTATTTTCGGATTTTCAACGGAAGAGAGAAAAGTTTTTTTTTTATCTTTATGGGAGGTCTTCTATATATGTGGGGACCTCTTGGAAGTCTTCAATATAGTGAAGAACTCTAGGATGTCCTCTAAATAGAGAAGACCTCCAGGAAGACCTAAAGTGAAGACCTCTAGGAGTTCTTCTATATAGTGAAGGCTTTTAGGAGGTCTACTATATTCTAAAGGCCTCTAGGAGGTCTTCTATATACTGAAGACCTCTAGGAGGTTAACACTTCTAGTAGTATTTTATATAGTAAAGACCTCTAGGAGGTCTTCTATGTATCTCTAGGAGGTCGTATATATAGTGAAGACCTGTAGGAGGTCTTCTATATATTGAAGACCTCTAGGAGGTCTTTAATATAGTGAAGAACTCTGGGAGGACTTATATAGTGAAGACCTGTAGGAGGTCTTCTATATATTGAAGACCTCTAGGAGGTCTTCTATATAGTGAAGACCTCTAGGGAGGTCTTCTATATAGTGAAGACCTCTAGGGAGGTCTTCTATATAGTGAAGACCTGTAGGAAGTCTTCTATATAGTGAAGACCTCTAGGAGGTCTTCTATATAGTGAGGGCCCATTGGACATCTTCCAAATATAGCAAAGACCTCTTAGAGGTCTTCTATATATTCAAAACCTTTACGAGTTATTTTACATATTCAAGACCGCTAGGAGATCTTCTATATAGTGAAAACATCTAGGAGATTTTCTATATAGTGAGGATCGAAAAATATTCCTCTATAATCTTTATACCCTCCACAATGGTATGGAGGGTATATTAAGTTTGTCATTCCATTTGTAACACCTTGTAATGCGTGTATATTCTTGATCAGCGTAAAATTCTATATCGATTCAGCGATGTCCGTCCATCTGCGCGTCCGTCCGTCTGTGGAAATTCCTCTAGCCTTCGAACGAAATGAAGTAGGTTGATAAAATTTTACTCAAATGTGTATTATGTCTGCAGGACTTTTGGTATTGAAAATGGCCCATGTAGGTCCACACCTTCCTATAGGTCCCATGTAACCGTACCTCCCGATATTCGGTATTTTGAGGATCTTAGAGACATTATTAACCGGAATTGTTTCGTATTTGGTATTTGAAGTTCGTAATGTATGTTACAGTCTAAGACAAAAAATTGTCTGTGAAGGTCCACGTGTTCGTAAAGGCCCCATATAACAGTACCTCCCGATTTTCGGTATTTTGATGATTTTAGCTACACTACTCACCGGAATTGTTTCACATTTGGAATTTGAAGTTCGTAATGGATTCTTCAGCCTTCGACAGAAAATTGTCCGTGCAGCTCCACGTCTTCGTATAGCCCCCATATAACGGTACTTCCCGATATTCGGTATTTTTATGATTTTAGTGAAATTATTCACCAGAATTGTTTCAAAATTGGCATTTGAAGTTAGCAACGGATAGTACAGCCTAAGACAGAAAATTGTCTGTGTAGGTCTATGTGTTCGTATAGCCCCCATATAACGGTACCTCCCGATATTCGGTATTTCGAATTTGGTATTTGAAGTTCATAATGGATACTAGAGCCTGTAACAAAAAATTGCCTGTGCAGGTCCCCATCTTCGTATAGCCCCCATATGACGGTACCTCCCGATATTCGGTATTTTGATGATTTTAGCGACATTTTTCACCGGAATTGTTTCAAATTTGGTATTCGAAGATCGTAGCGGATACTAGAGCCTATGACAGAAAATTGTCTAGGCAAGTTTACGTCTTCGTATAGCCCCCATATAACAGTACCTTCCGTTATTCGGTATTTCGATGATTTTAGCGACATTATTCACCGGAATAGTTCCAAATTTGATATTTGAAATTCGTAATAGATACTGCAGCCTTAGGCAGAAAATTGTCTCTGCAGGTCCTCGTCTTCGTTTAGCTCCCATATAACGGTACCTCCAGATATTCGGTTTTTTTGATGATTCTAGCGACATTATTCGCCGAAATTGTTTCACATTTGACATTCGAAGTTCGTAATGGATACTAAAGCCTATGACAGAAAATTGCCTGTGCAGATCCCTGTCTTCGTATAGCCCCCATATAACGGTCCCACCCGATATTCAGTTACCTATGCAGGTCCACATCGTCGTAAGGCCCTAATATTTTTTTTAAGATTTTAACGGATTTTATTTTTTTTTCAAAGTTCGGCCCGGCCGAACTTACAGCTTATTACTTCTTTTTATTCCAAATAACCCATAAAAATGGACTTAATCACTTTTTTTTTAAAATAAAAACAAAACAATTTAATCTTATCTCTGACATTGTTGTTTTTGTTGTTGTTGTTGTTTGACAAACCACCAACATGCCTATCAGATCGAACATATGTTTATTTTTAGTACTCAAACATTCTTATTCAGCTACTGAACTTTCTCCACTCTCAGATGTATACCTCCTCGAATACTGAAGACAAAAACATTCTTGGGGTCGAATATTAGATTTTCCGCCGTCTCCTTACAGGGGGAGAATTTGAAATGCATTAACAGTAGAGCCACACCCATCATGGTTTCCATCATGCCAAAACGTTCCGCGATGCAAATGCGTGGCCCAGCTCCAAAGGGCAGATATGCCATAGGATGGCGTCTTTGTCTCTCCTCTGCTGAGAAACGTTCGGGACGAAACACCTCGGGTTGGGGATAGTATTCGGGGTCGTGATGTATGGCATAGATGGGAATTATTATATGGACATATGGTTCCACGGTGAGTCCCTGGCGATCGGGAAATTTGTAGGAACGGCGGCAGACCCGTTTCGTGGAGGGCACAGGTGGGTATTTGCGCAGGGTCTCTAAGAAAAGGGGAAGGGGAAAATAAGAGCGAAGCATTTGAAAAGTGAAAGTGATTTTCCTTACCTTGCACCACCTGCCTTATGTAGGTCATCTCGTTCAGGCTATCATAGCTGAACACTCCTTGATGTTTTCGTAAAGCTTCCGCGATATTCTCTCTTGCTCGTTCCTGCACCCGAGGATTTTTGGCCAACTCGTAGAGAGCAAATGCCATGGTATTCGAAGAGGTCTCAAATCCAGCCGAAAAGAAGGCAAACGACTGGGCAATCAGATCATCCATTTCCAGCTGATACTCCCCCTCCTGCTGGGGACGATTTTTCAATTCAATCAACAGATCCAAAAAATCATTACGGCGCACGCCATTTTTCTCACGATATTCCACAGTACGGCATACAATATTCGAATAGAACGAAATCAATTCCGGTGTGGCCACCTTATAATCCAACCAGGTGAATAATTTGGGAAAATGTGAAGCCAACATGTCCCAAAAAGGGTTGACATCGGAAAAGGTTCGATCACCTTTGAGGCGAAATTCCGTGTTGGGATCCTCCAGACTGTTGCAGTCCAAGCCAAAGGCCACATTGCCAATGACATCGGTGGTGAAACGGGCACATAGGTCACGTACCTCCACCACATTCCGCTTCCGCTCTGCTTGCTTCTCCATGACCTGCATAAAATGTCTGCCAATTGCCTCCACATTGCCAAACATTTGGCGCATGCGTGCCGCCGTAAAGGTGGGCGTAATTTTGGTGCGAATTTTACGCCACATCTCACCATGCAACCTTGCCATATTTCTCGACAGAGGATCGGATTTATAATTGACAAAAAATCCGCGATCTGGAAAAACCTCGAATTCGGTGACCAGTATCAATTTCAAGATCTCCAAGTCAGCTATTAGCAGGGTGGGAGTGATGAGAGTATAGATACCAGCATAGCCTTTATTTTCCCTCTTCATCTGATGATAGGCTCGCTGATAGGAATAGGCAATGTGTTCACGATTTCGAAGCTTGTAAAGACCTGTGGTGGGCACGGTAGGTGCCTTACGCCTACGCCAATAAGTCAATTGGTAATGTAACCAAATTATGGCCAGGAAGATTATTAGGGTGAAAATTGCAAGCGGTATCGGTATCATTATTCTTCTTGCGGGTAGTACAGCTAAAGTTGGACTAAACACTTGTCAATGCCCCAGCCGTGTACCCCCTCAAATCTCCTATCTAATCAGTTTTTAATTTTGGTTATAGATTTGCATATCGAATAGAAGGGGAAGAGGGGGGATAACGACAACAGATTACCCCCCAGGCAGATTAGAACATTTTTTGTTATGAAAAAAAAAACAACGAGAACAGGGGGTCTTCTAGGTCCACAAGAAATGCATAAGGTCTTCTATGTCTCTAAGACCTCCAGAAGGTGGTCCAAGTTCAGAAGACGTCCAGGAGATCTTTAAACAAGAGACCTCCAAAAGGTATTCTATATCCATAAATCCTCCAGAAGGTATTTTATGTTCATAAGAAGGTCCACCAGAAGATCTCGTGCGTTCACAAAACGTCCAGGAGGTCTTCTAAGTCCAGTATATGTCCAGAATTTATTTTACGTCCAGAAAACCTACAGAAGGTCTTCAACGTTCAGATAAGCTATAGAATGTCTTCCACGCTCAGAGGAAATTTTAAAAGGCCTTCTGCGTCCTAAATACCTCCAGAAGGTCTCCTACGTCTAGAAAACCTCCAGAAGATCTTCTACGTCCAGGAAACCTTTGGAAGGTCTTTATGTCTAGAAGACCTCCAGAAGGTATTCTATGTCCATAAGACCACCAGAAGGTCTCATATGTCCAGAAAACGTCCAGGAGGTCTTTTAAGTCCTGTTTATGTTTAGAAGGTCTTCTATGTCCAGAAGACCTCAAGATGGTCTCCTATGCCCAGCAGACCTCGAGAAGGTCTTCAACGTTCAGAAAAGCTCTAGAATGTCTTTCAAGCCCAGAAGAAATGAAAAAGGTTTTCTTCGTCCAGAAGACCTCAAGAAGGTCTTCCAAGTCCAGAAGACTTCAAAAGGTCTTCTGCGTGGTCTCGTACGTCCAGAAAACGTCCAGAAGGTCTTCTAAGTCCAGAATATGTCTGGAAGACATAGAGAAGGCCTTCAGAAGGTCTTCTAAGTCCAGTATATTTCTAGAAGGTCTTCTACGTCCAGAAGACCTCCAGAAGGTCTCCCACGCCCAGAAAACCTCCAGAAGGTCTTCTGAGTCCAGAAGACCTCCAGTATGTTTTTCCAGGAGATCTTCTACGTGCAGGAGAACTCCAAAAGGTCTTCCATGTCTAGAAGACCTCTAGAAGGTATTCTATGTCCATAAGACCACAAGAAGGTCTCATGTATCCAGAAAACTTCCAGAAGGTCTTTTAAGTCCAGTATATGTTTAGAAGGTCTTCTATGTCCAGAAGACCTCAAGAAGCTCTCCTGTACCCAGCAGACCTCGAGAAGGTCTTCAACTTTCAGATAAGCAAATGTCTTTCACGCCCAGAAGAAATTAAGAAGGCTTTTACGCCCAAAAGACCTCCAGAATGTCTCCTAAGCCCAGAAAACCTCTAGAAGTTCTACTACGTCCAGAAAACATTAAAAAGGTCTTCTAAGTCCAGAAAACCTCCAAAAGGTCCTCCAGGAAATCTTGTATATCTAGAACCTCCTGAAGGTATTTTAAGTCCAGAAGGCCTCCAAAAAGTCTTCTAAGTCTAGAAGACCTCCAGAAGCCCTTATATGTTCAGCAGACCTCGAGAACATCTTCAACGTTCAGATCAACTCTAGAAGTCTTTCGCGTCCAGAAGAAATGAAGAAGGTCTTCTACGCCCAGAAAACCTCCAGAATGTCTCCTAAGCCCAGAAAACCTCCAGAAGTTCTCCTACATCCAGAAAACATCAAAAAGGTCTTCTAAGTCCAGAAAACCTCCAGAAGGTTGTCCAGAAGATCTTCTATATCTAGAAGACTTCCTCAATGTATTATAAGTCTAGAAGACCTCCAAAAGGTCTTCTAAATCTAGAAGACCTCCTGAAGGCATTCTAAGTCTAGAAGGCCTCCAAAAAGTCTTCTAAGTCTAGAAGACCGCCAGAAGCCCTCTTGTGTCCAGCAGACCTCGAGATGATCTTCAACGTTCAGATAAACTCTAGAATGTCTTTCACGCCCAGAAGAAATGAAGAAGGTCTTCTACGCCAAGAAAACCTCCAGAATGTCTCGTAAGCCCAGAAAACCCCCAGAAGGTCTTCTACGCCAAGAAAACCTCCAGAATGTCTCGTAAGCCCAGAAAACCCCCAGAAGTTCTCCTGCATCCACAAAACATCAAAAAGGTCATCTAAGTCCAGAAAACCTCCAGAAGACCGTCCAGAAGATCTTCTATATCTAGAAGACCTCCTGAAGGTATTCTAAGTCCAGAAGACCTCCAAAAGGTCTTCTAAGTCTAAGTCATGTCTATAAGACCACCAGAAGGTCATAGGCGTCCAGAAAACCTCCAGAAGGTCTTCTAAGTCCAGTATATGTATAGAAGGTCTTCTTCGTCTAGAAGACTTCAACAAGGTCTTCTATGCCCAGAAGATCTCCAGATGGTCTCCTACGCCCAGAAGACCTCCAGAAGGCCTCATACGTCTAGCAGATCTCGAGAAGGTTTTCAACGTTCAGATAATATAGTGAAATGCATCGAACTTTATCTCCCCCATGCCATTGATAGGCCTCCAAACGTTGCTTATCATTTTGATAACAACAAAAACAACAACTCATTAAAATAAATACATTTAACAAAAATGCAGAACTTTACACTTTATTTAAATTTTCTCCACCCGCAAATAAATCCCCTCCTTGGTGTTGAAGACTCGCACATTAAAAGGGTCAAAGGTCAATTGCTTCACCGTTCGATCGCACAGCGAAAATTTGAAATTCTTCAGCAGCAACGCCAGACCCATCATGGTTTGCATCATACCAAAGCGTTCGGCAATACATGTCCTAGGTCCTGCGCCAAATGGCAGATATGTCATGGGATGACGTTGACCCTTTTCGTTGGGGGCAAAACGTTCGGGACGAAACACTTCCGGCTGGGGATAATATTCCGGATCGTGATGAATGGCATAGACCGGTATGATGATGTGAACACTGGGTTCGACGGTGAGACCTGGCTTGCCTGGCAGGGTGAAGGGACGACGACAGACACGCCTGCCTGTGGGTGCAACAGGGTGTTTGCGAAGGGTTTCTGGAATGAAGAAATCACATATTTTTAGGAGAGAATTGAAAATATATTTTTCTCAGAGAGAGAGAGAGAGAGTGGTAAGGAGAGAGGAGGGAAGAATTGAGGGGGTACTAAATTTTAATTCTTACCCTGCACCACCTGCCTTACATAGCCCATATCATTCAGACTGTCATAGCCAAAGGCCCCCTTGTGTTTCTCCAAAGTGTCCTGCACATCCTTGCGGGCTCTCTCCTGCACCTGCGGATTCTTGGCCATTTCGTAGAGGGCAAATGTCATGGTACTCGAAGAGGTCTCAAACCCACCAATAAAGAAAACGAAGGCCTGGGCAATTATGTCCTCCATATCCAGTTGATATTCTGCCTCCCCCTCCAGGGGGCTATTCTTCAGCTCAATCAGTAGATCCAAAAAGTCATTACGCTTTACCCCATTTTTCTCGCGATATTCCACAGTCTCCCTTACAATCCTCGAATAAAATGTTATCAGCTCCTGGGTAAAGACCTTGTAGCCGAAGCGATGAAACAGTTTGGGATAGGTGGAGGCAATCATTTCCATAAACGGATGTATGGTGTAGAATGCCTTGTCACCCTTGACCCGAAATTCCGCCTGGGGTTCTTGCAGACTATTACACTCCAGGCCAAAGGCTACATTTCCAATGACATCGGTGGTGAAACGGGCACATAAATCTCGAACCTCCAGCTCATTGTTGAGCTCCTCCACCTGGCCAGCCATAACCTGGATGAAATTCTCACCAATGGCCTGCACAGTGCCAAACATTTGACGCATGCGTCCCGAGGTAAAGGTGGGTGTTAACTTGGTTCTCACCTTACGCCACAGATCGCCATGCAGTCTCACCAAGTTCTTGGACAGAGGGTCATCTTTGAAATTTGCATAGAACCCCCTGTCGGGAAAGGAATCAAATTCACTGATATACACCAGCTTCAGCAGATCAAGATCCGCCACCAATAGGGTGGGTGTCAACATTGTCAAGAACCCGGCATAGGGTCGTTGCTCCTCTCTCAACTGTTTATAGATCCTCTCGTAAACAAAGGCCACATGTTCCCGTTCCCTGATCTGATGCAAGGCACTGGCATCCACGGTGAGTATGTTGAACCTGTTCCAGTAGTTTTGTTTTTTACGCAGCCATAACCAGCCGGCAGCAACAACAACAACGAGAGAAACAACAAACAAAAGCGAAACACCGATCATAGTTGTGGCCGAAACAAAGCTTCGAATGAAACTAAATGCATTTGGACTCTCTCTCTCGGTGGGAAAATTATTTTCCAAAAAAGCTTATCATGAGTTCGGTTTATTTGCAAGAGATTAGCAAAAGGTTGAAGAGCAAAACTTAAGGGAGACTTAGCTTGACAAGAGGGGACCTACAGCCAACAGAGATTTTTAAGGGAATTCCGTAATTGAGACAGGCTGAAGTAGGGGTTCCAAAGGTTATTATATATTGCATTACAGGGTGAGATAAAAAAATTGCAACAAAGTCAAACGTCCTCAGCATAAAATTCTATGTCGATTTAACAATGTCCGTCCGTCTGTCCGTCTGTGGAAATCACTCTAGCTTCCGAACGAAATGAAGGAAGTTGATAAAATTTTACTCAAATGTGTATTATGCCTGCAGGACTTTTGGTATTGAAAATGGGCCATATAGGTCCACATCTTCGTATAGCCCCCATATGACGGTACCTTCCCATATTCGGTATTTTGATGATTTTAGCGACATTATTTACCGGAATTATTTCAAATTTCGCATTTGAAGTTCGTAAAGGATACTACAGCCTGTGGGAGAAAATTGTCTGTGCAGGTCCACGGCTTCGTATAGCCACCATATAACGTTACCCCCCAGGATATTCGGTATTTTGATGATTTTAGCGACATTATTTACCGGAATTATTTCAAATTTCGCATTTGAAGTTCGTAATGGATACTACAGCCTGTGACAGAAAATGGACCATGTAGATCCGCGTCTTCGTATAACCCCCATATAGCCGTACCTCCCGATATTCGATATTTTTATGATTTTAGCGACATTATTTACCGGAATTGGTTCAAATTCCGCATTTGAATTTCGCAATGGATACTACAGCCTGTGGCAGAAAATGGGCATGTAGGTCGGTGTCTTCGTATAGACCCCATATAAAGGTACCTCCCGATATTCGGTATTTTGCTGATTTTAGCGATATTATTTACCGGAATTGTTTCAAAATTGGTATTTGAAGTTTGCTATGAATACTACAGCCTATGACAGAAAATTGTCTGTGCAGGTCCACGTCTTTGTATAGCCCCCATATAGCGGTACCTCCCGATATTCGGTATTTTTATGATTTTAGTGACATTCTTTACCGGAAATATTTCAAATTTCGCATTTGAAGTTCGCAATGTATACTACAGCCTAAGACAGAAAATGAGCCATGTAGGTTCACGTCTTCGTATAGTCCCCATATAGCGGTACCTCCCGATATTCGATATTCTGATGATTTTGGCGACATTATTCAGCGGAATTATTTCAAATTTCTTATTTGAAGTTCGTAATATATAATACAGCCTAACACAGAAAATAGACCATGTAGATCCACGTCTTCGTATGGCCCCCATATAACGGTACCTCCCGATATGCAGTATTTTGATGATTTTAGCGACATTATTTGACGGAACTATTTCAAATTTCGCATTTGAAGTTCGCAATGGATACTTCAGCCTGTGACAGAAAATTGTCCCGGCAGGTCTAAGTCTTCGTATAGCCCCTATATAACAGTTCCCCCCGATATTCGGTATTTTGATGATTTTAGCGACATTATTTACCGGAATTGTTTCAAATTTCGCATTTGAAGTTCTCTTGTGACAGAAAATTGTCTTTGCAGGCTTATGACAAAAGTTTCGTATGCAGGTCCATGTCGTCGTATAGACCCTAATACACGGCTACATTAGGTATTTTTAAGATTTTAACAGAATTTTTAATGGATTTTTAATTTTTTGAAAATTGCCAAATTTGCACCGAATGGTGGAGGTCATTTTCAAGTTCGGCACGGCCGAACTTACAGCTTTTTCATTTTTTAAATTTTATTGAATGAAAGCAAAAATGTCGGAAATCGGCATCAAATTTAAGAATAAGTTTAGATTTGTTCGAATTGGTCACCTTTGGCACGAATTATGACCTTCTAGCGGCCAATTAAACCGTCACACCACACTGTCCGAATGCTGTTCTGCGATATTTTGGCCCATTCCCCCCGGTGTGGCCCTTGCTTGAGATGATCGACACTTTGGTATTTTTTTGGTGCTAGCCTTGCTTTCTAAAATACTCCAGACACAATAGCCCAAAGGATTTGTATCCGGAGATTTTGGTGACCATGTGCGCTGAAAATGAAGCGAGGAACCCATGTTGTAACCATTTTTGGGTATTCGGAGATTTTGTTGGCCATTGAGCGCTGGAAATGAAGCGAGGAACCTCATTTTATAACCATTCTTGGGTGACGAGTGCTGAGTGCGATGGTGCTGAGTCCTGTTGGAATGTCCAAGGTCTGCGGCCAAAATGTTTGCGTGCCCAAGGCTTTAATACACCCTCCAGAATATTTTCGGGATAATATTCGGCATTTATTCTGACGCCATGGTCGATTTATACGAGCTGAGAGTGACCATCGGCTGTTATGGCGGCCCACACCATCACGGATTGGTATCCGGAGATTTTGGTGACCATTGTGCGCTGGAAATGAAGCGAGGAACCTCATTTTTGGAACCATTCTTGGGTGGCGCGTGCTGTGTACGATGGTGCTCAGTCCTGTTGGTGCTGATGTCCAAGGTCTGCGCCCAAAATGTTGGCGTGCCCAAAGCTTTAATACACCCTCCAGAATATTTTCGCGATAATATTCGGCATTTATTCTGATGCCATGGTCGATTAACACGAGCCGAGAGCGACCATCGGCTGTTATGGCGGTCCACACCATCACCATGACCGGCGCTTGAGTTCTGGTGGCCAACCGGAGGTGCACATTTTCAGCTGACCTGAGGGTTTCGTTCAGGACGCTTCTTTACTTTTCGAACCATTTCTGCTGATGTTGCTGTTTTCTGCCGTCCACTTCCTTGACGTCTAGGGGCTGCGCTACCAGTATCAGTATCAGGATAACGAGCGATGGTACGAGCCACAAAAGATTTATTCACATTTAAATGCTGGAGTGCTCTGGCGATAGCCTCTTGTGGTTTTCCTGCCAAATATAAAGAAATCACACTATCGCGCTTGAACTCCATCACGAATAACTGTTTTTCTGGAAAATTCTCACCAAAATGCTTTTGTACGTAAAATGCTGTATGAGATGTCACTGGAATAATTTTCTGTAATGATCCTTAAAAAAATATTCTCTAAAAATTCAAAAGGCTCTTAAATAGAAATCCACATTTGTTTCTGTGATGGTCCTTGAAAAATATGGCCATGTCTCTTTGAAATCCGTTTTAGGATCTTAGGAGTTGATCTAGTCATGTTCATTGATCTGTCTCGAAGAGAGCATCCGATTTCGTCCAAATTTGTTAAATCTGAATTCGATCAGGTTCAGAGATGGGAAAAAAATATATCCCACCTTGCCAAGGGCTACTAACATTTAAAATCCATTGATTATTTTTTCTCCTCGTTTTAGTTTTATTCTAATTAACGTCACACCAATGCTAATCTCCCAGAGAGCCGCCGGAGAGCTAATCTGGTTGAGAGCGGTTGTTAGTCGCCCAAAACACAATTCCGCTGTTTTTGTTTGTTTGCAATGTTTTGTATTTGTTTGTGTCATTAACACTCATTCAAATCGGTTCGATGACGAATTGACTTTGGCTATAACAACAGTCAAATCCAAAAAATTCTATTCTACAAACGCCACAAACCGCAAAGGGGGAGAAGTTAGCGAAGGGGTTGCCAAATCTAGTAAACTTCAGAATAAATGCAATCCCCGTTTCCCCCCGCTTCCACTTCTGGCAATAGAACTTGTTGCTGCTTATGATTTGTCAAATAAAATTGTCAAAAAAAACAACAACAACAACAAAAACAACTTAGTATCGAAATACTTTTTATGGATTGATAAGAGAAGCTTCACTGCCATAACTGAAGCGTTCGAAATTGAATTACGATTTTTTGTTTTGGAATGGAAAACAGCTCGCCAGCATAGGGGACACTCGAGATGGGCTACCCTGGAAATGAATTGAATTTTGAAAATAAAAAAAAATATAAAATAATTTATCAAAAAATAAATTTTCAGTTCCGTTCCACTAAAAATTTGAGATTTTTTTTTTTGAAATTTCAAATTTAACCCTTAGTTTTATTGAAAATTTTGAATAATATTTTTTACCAACAATATGGAAACTACCCCATTTTTTAATAGCAAAAAAATTTCAATATCCATTCCAATACCAGTTTATTCCATCAGTCGCCGATGCTGGCGGAACATCTTAATTGTTGTTAAACAAATATAAAATAAGTCATCAAAAAATAAATTTTCAAATCCGTTCCACTAAAAATTGATATTTTTTTTTTTTTTGGAAATTTCAAATTTAACCCCTATTTTTATTGAAAATTTAGAACCAATTTTTTACAGACAATATTGAACTCACCCCATTTTTAAAAGCAAAAAAATTCTCAATACCCATTCCAAAAGTCAATATCATAGTGTAACCAAATCTTTTCTCTCTCTCTCTTGATCCCATATCCAATACCAGTTTCTGCCATCGGTCGCCGATGCTGACGGAACATCTTAATTGTTGTTAAACTTTGGGCTTTAATTAATTGTTGCAACTATAATTGTTATAACTTGGCCAATATTTGTTTACAATAGCGAGCGGCAGTGGGCAGAGGTTACCGCACACAGGTGAGTAGACCCCCTAGACCCCTTCCCCTCACCTGTAACAGATGTTATTGAAACTTGATTGTAGAATGATGCTATGTAATTGAAGATCTCAAATTAAACTATAAAGGTGATGCAATTAAAGCTCTTCAGAGAAGAGAGGGAGAGAGAGAGAGAAAAAAAATAGAGAAATTCTAGAGTCAGTCAAAGAGAATAAAAATTACTCTACAGAAAACCCAATTTCTAAGGGCTGCATCGGAGTTAACCAGAGGCAACCTATCTTCATCCCGGCTGAATACAAGCTTGCCTCTGGCAACCTGTATTCAGCCCGGCTGAATATAGGCTAGCCTCTTGCAACCTCTATTCAGCCCGGCTGAACACAGGCTTGCATCTGGCAACCTCTATTCAGCCCGGCTGAACTCAGGCTTGCCTATGGCAACCTCTATTCAGCCCGGCTGAACACAGGCTTGCCTATGGCAATCTCTATTCAGCCCGGCTGAACACAGGCTTGCCTATGGCAACCTCTATTCAGCCCGGCTGAACACAGGCTTGCCTATGGCAACCTCTATTCAGCCCGGCTGAACACAGGCTTGCCTATGGCAACCTCTATTCAGCCCGGCTGAACACAGGCTTGCCTATGGCAACCTCTATTCAGCCCGGCTGAACACAGGCTTGCCTATGGCAACCTCTATTCAGCCCGGCTGAACACAGGCTTGCCTATGGCAACCACTATTCAGCCCGGCTGAACACAGGCTTGCCTATGGCAACCTCTATTCAGCCCGGCTGAACACAGGCTTGCCTATGGCAACCTCTATTCAGCCCGGCTGAACACAAGCTTGCCTCTGGCAACCTGTATTCAGCCCTGGGCTGAATATAGACTTGCCTCTGGCAACCTCTATTCAGCCCTGGGCTGAATACAGACTTGCCTCTGGCAACCTCTATTCAGCCTGGGCTGAATACAGACTTGCCTCTGGCAACTTCTATTCAGCCTGGGCTGAATACAGACTTGCCTCTGGCAACCTCTATTCAGCCTGGGCTGAATATAGACTTGCCTCTGGCAACCTCTATTCAGCCTGGGCTGAATATAGACTTGCGTCTGGCAACCTCTATTCAGCCTGGGCTGAATATAGACTTGCCTCTGGCAACCCCTATTCAGCTCGGCTGAATATAGACTTGCCTCTGGCAACCTCTATTCAGCCTGGCCTCTGGCAACCTCTATTCAGCCCGGCTGAATATAGACTTGCCTCTGGCAACCTCTATTCAGCCCGGCTGAATATAGACTTGCCTCGGGCAACCTCTATTCAGCCGGGGCTGAATAAAGACTTGCCTCTGGCAACCTCTATTCAGCCGGGGCTGAATATAGACTTGCCTCTGGCAACCTCTATTCAGCCGGGGCTGAATATAGACTTGCTTCTGGCAACCTCTATTCGGCCCGGGCTGAATATAGGCTAGCTTCTGGCAACCTCTATTCGGCCCGGGCTGAATATAGGCTAGCCTCTGGCAACCTCTATTCGGCCCGGGCTGAATATAGGCTAGCCTCTGGCAACCTCTATTCAGCCCGTCTGAATATAGGCTAGCCTCTGGCAACCTCTATTCAGCCCGCGCTGAATATAGGCTTTCCTCTGGCAACCTCTATTCAGCATGGGCTGAATAGAGACTTACCTCTGGCAACCTCTATTCAGCCTGGGCTGAATATAGACTTTCCTCTGGCAACATCTATTCAGCCCGGGCTGAATATAGACTTGCCTCTGGCAACCTCTATTCAGCCCGGACTGAATATAGACTTGCCTCTGGCAACCTCTATTCAGCCCAGGCTGAATATAGACTTGCCTCTGGCAACCACTATTCAGCCGGGCTGAATATAGACCTGCCTATTGCAATCTCTATTCAGCCTGGGCTGAATATAGACTTGCCTCTGGCAACCTCTATTCAGCCTGGGCTGAATATAGACTTGCCTCTGGCAACCTCCGGCCCTGCTGAATGTAGGCTAGCCTCTGGCAACCTCTATTCAGCCCGGCTGAATATAGACTTGCCTGCGGTAACCTCTATTCAGCCCGGCTGAATATAGACTTGCCTGTGGCAACCTCTATTCAGCCTGGGCTGAATATAGACTTGCCTCCGGCAACCTCTATTCAGCCTGGGCTGAATATAGACTTGCCTCCGGCAACCTCTATTCAGCCTGGGCTGAATATAGACTTGCCTCTGGCAACCTTTATTCAGCCTGGACTGAATATAGACTTGCCACTGGCAACCTCTATTCAGCCTGGGCTGAATATAGACTTGCCACTGGCAACCTCTATTCAGCCTGGGCTGAACATAGGCTTGCCTCTGGCAACCTCTATTCAGCCTGGGCTGAATATAGACTTGCCTCTGGCAACCTCTATTCAGCCTGGGCTGAATATAGACTTGCCTCTGGCCACCTCTATTCAGCCTGGGCTGAATATAGACTTGCCTCTGGCAACCTCTATTCAGCCTGGGCTGAATATAGACTTGCCTCTGGCCACCTCTATTCAGCCTGGGCTGAATATAGACTTGCCTCTGGCCACCTCTATTCAGCCTGGGCTGAATATAGACTTGCCTCTGGCAACCTCTATTCAGCCTGAGCTGAACATAGACTTGCCTATGGCAACCTCTATTCAGCCCGGACTGAATATCATTTTTTTATGATTTTTGCCGAACCCCCTATACCTACTGTAGCGTGCCCTGCCGGCCAATAATCCCACTTGCTGATAAATCCCCCCGCCCCAGCAGAAGCGTTTGCTGTGAAAATTTCCAGCCGAATATCTCTATGGCGGTGAAGTGAGTGCCAGAAAAGCACCAGCAACAACAACAAAGAGCAGTAACAACGCTCGGCTACACTCACTGCTCCCTAACTCATTTGCTCGCTCCCAAAAAGTTCATTAATCAGTTAACAAATAAGCGTTTAATACAACTAGTCACACCGGGCGTAACTCTAGAAGAATTTTTTTTTTTTTTTTGATAAAAAAAACAACAACAACAACAACAACAAAAACGCGATTATTTTCGAACAATAAAACAGAAACAGACACGAGAAGGGGAAATTGGGAAAAGAAAATTACGCGCGCCCGGAAAATCGAAATGAAAACAAAATGAAAATCACAAAATGATCGACAACCTCCCCGCATTTTGAAGTTTCGTTGCCAATTTTTTTTTTTTTGTAATTTTTCCAAGAAATTTTCAAAATTCCCACCGTGCAAGCATCATCATGATGTGGGTTATGTATTTGTTGTTGGCCCTGGTGATATTCCTTATCTTGACGCTGATAGTTGTGGCCATCGTTTACATACGCGACTATTGGCATTTTGTGGGGGTGCCACACGACCAGCCGCGTTCGCTGCGCGAGGTGGTGAAGACGTTCAGCAAATATGGCACCACCACCCAGGTGAAGGACCAGAATGAGTATTACCGGAAGTTGTATAAAAAATTCAAGGGCACGGGGCCCTTTGTGGGGTTCTATCATCTCTTCGAACCGCGTGTCATGGTCCTGAGTCCGGAGCTAATGCAGCAGATTCTAGTCAAGAATTTTTCCAATTTTAATGATCGCGGTCATTATCATAATCGTAAGACGGATCCCCTGTCCGCCGATCTGTACAGCACCAGCGGAGATCAGTGGAAGGAGATGCGTTTGAAACTGGAACCGGTGTTCCAAAAGGCCTATATGTTCCATTTTTTCGAAAGCATACGCGAGGAGTGTGAAAAGACCTTTCTGCTATTCGAGCTGGCTCGGCAGGACTATCAGAAAATATCACCCCAAAGTGATGTGGCCCTGGATGTGAAGCCCTTTATGCATCGCTATGTTCTGGGCAACATAGCCAAGTGTGTGTTCGGTCTCAATAAGTCAATGCATCAAAAATATCCCCTCGAGGAATTCGATGCCATGACCCAGTTTGGGCTGCACACCCATCGGCATGGAGCCTTTTTGACCTCCATCATGGATCGTTATCCGAAATTGTTTCGTTCCTTTAACTTCTCCACAACCAAAGAAAAGGTGCACAGCTATTTCATGAACCTCTTGAATGATGTCATCACGCATCGGGCCAAGAGCGAGGAGCAGGTCGATGATTATCTGCAACTGCTTATCGATTTGATGAATCAGGAGTTCAACACCCATGAGACGGAGGTACACAATGAGGGCATCGAGCTGAAGGAACATTTGGTCAATGAGTTGGCCGCCCATGCCTTTAGCTTTTTGAGGGCAGGTCTGGAACCCACGGAGGATACGTTGACGTATATTCTCTATGAATTGGCCAGGGATCCTGTTATGCAGCAAAGGGTACGGGAAGAAGTCACCAAGGCCTATGAACAGCATGGAGAAAATTTCACCTATGAGGGGATACAATCGCTGAAATTTATGGGGCAATTTATATCAGGTAAGGAGGCAGGGATTTCCAGAGGAATTCCGAAAACAAGGCTATATTCTGCCTGGAATAGAGGTTGCCATAGGCAAGCCTATATTCAGCCCGGCTAAGTAGAGGTTGCCATAGGCAAGCCTATGTTCAGCGGGGCTGAATAGAGGTTGCCAGAGGCAAGCCTATATTCAGCCTGGCTGAATAGTGGTTGCAATAGGCAAGCCTATGTTCAGCCTGGCTGAATAGAGGTTGCCATAGGCAAGCCTATGTTCAGCCTGGCTGAATAGAGGTTGCCATAGGCAAGCCTATGTTCAGCCCGGCTGAATAGAGGTTGTCATAGGCAAGCCTATGTTCAGCCCGGCTGAATAGAGGTTGCCATTGGCAAGCATATGTTCAGCCAGGCTGAATAGAGGTTGCCATAGGCAAGCCTGTGTTCAGCCCGGCTGAATAGAGGTTGCCGTAGGCAAGCCTGTGTTCAGCCCGGCTGAATAGAGGTTGCCATAGGCAAGCCTGTGTTCAGCCCGGCTGAATAGAGGTTGCCATAGGCAAGCCTGTGTTCAGCCCGGCTGAATAGAGGTTGCCATAGGCAAGCCTGTGTTCAGCCCGGCTGAATAGAGGTTGCCATAGGCAAGCCTGTGTTCAGCCCGGCTGAATAGAGGTTGCCGTAGGCAAGCCTGTGTTCAGCCCGGCTGAATAGAGGTTGCCGTAGGCAAGCCTGTGTTCAGCCCGGCTGAATAGAGGTTGCCATAGGCAAGCCTGTGTTCAGCCCGGCTGAATAGAGGTTGCCATAGGCAAGCCTGTGTTCAGCCCGGCTGAATAGAGGTTGCCATAGGCAAGCCTGTGTTCAGCCCGGCTGAATAGAGGTTGCCATAGGCAAGCCTGTGTTCAGCCCTGCTGAAAAGAAGTTGCAACAGGCTGAAGATCGGGAGATATGAGAATATTTAGTTAATAAAATCTTGTTTTTCCTTCCAGAAACCATTCGCCTCCATCCCGTGGTACCCTATGTAATGCGTCGCACTCTCAACGACTATTTGGTGCAAAAAGATTCCAATTTCCTGATACGCAAAGATATTAACATTGTCATCCCCCTAAATGCCATGCACAACGATCCAGAGTATTATCCCCAGCCGCATATTTTTAATCCTGAACGTTTTTCGGGTGCCCCAAATCGTCAGCGCCAATCTTGTGTTTGGCTTGGCTTCGGAGAGGGACCTCGTAACTGCCTGGGTTTGCATTTTGCCCAGCTACAAATGCGTACCCTTGTCGCCATCCTACTAATGCGTTATGAATTCTCTTTGGATACCCAAAACCTAATTGTTTGCTGCCTAGAGGGGGTGGCTCTGAGAATACGACCGCTACACGAACGTTCCGAGTATGTGGAGAGTGAGGGACGAGAATCGGCAGTTGTGATATGAAGAGGAGAAGAAGAAAATAGTTTAAATTGATTTTAGAAGTTTTTGTTTAACGATAAAAATAATAGTATTACTTGTTATTTATTTCTGTTTTTTGTTTGTTAGTCAATGTATTCTATGGAATTTGTCCACTTCGTGTTTAATTGTTATTAGCTTTTTTTTTGTTTTAAATGTTAAATTTAAATTGATATCATAACATAGCTTGGTAAGTTTACAGAACGACTGCTTTCACAGAAGAAAACCCAAAGTGCCTAAAAATATGCTGTACTTTTCATTTGATATTTTAAAGAAATAAAGAAAAAACAATGTATTTCTCCCTGGGGAGATGCTGAATAGAAAAAAATTAATACTCCTTTTTTGAGGGAAAAACAGGACAAAAATTAAACGACGTTCTGCTTGAATTTATACCCCTACCAAAGAATTACATATTATTATACCCTCAGCCATATGGCTAGAGAGGGCGTTTATCATTTGATACGGCCAAAACGTACCTCATCGAACCTTGCAAATCCTAATATTTCCATCAGTGCTAGTTCAGATGCGAAAATGAACAATATCAGTCCACTCCATCCAGTACCTCCCCCACAAAGGTTCAAAATTTTGAATAATTACAACTCTTATAAAATGTGATGTAATATTCCGATTGTCTTCAAATTTCACACAACATATTATTTTTTTTTAAACAAGGTCTGGCGTGAAGATGAGAAATATCGGACAACTTCTTCTGGTACATCTCCAACAAAGGGTGAAAATTCTGAATATACATGAAGCTCATAAAACGGAAAATTAACATTCGAATCCATTCAGACTGGGCTCATCTCAATATTTCCATCAATACAAGATATGTTATAAAGATGGTAGAGATCGGATCATTCCTTCTGGTACCTTCCACACAAAGGGTCAAAGTTTTGAATAACAAAAACGAATATAAAATCCTAAATAAGCATCTGGTTCTCTTCAAATTACACACATCACAATATTTCTATTGAGCCAAGGTCTGGCGTGGAGATGGAATATATCGGTCTTCTCCTTCTGCTACCTCCCACACAAAGGGTCAAAATTTTGAATATCCATGAAAAGCTTGCGAAAAAAGTCGGTGATTCTATACAACTTGCTACATCTAAATATTTCTTCGTATTTAAAATGGACCATGTAGGTATACGTCTTCGTATAGCCTCCATATAACGGTACCTTCCGATATTCGGTATTTTGATACTTTTAGCGTCATTATTTGCCGGAATTGTTTCAAATTTGGTATTTTAAGTTCGTAATGGATACTACAGCCTGTGACAGAAAATTGTCCGTGCAGGTCCACATCTTCGTATGGCCCCCATATAACGGTACCTCCTGATATTCGGTATTTTAATGATTTTGGCGACATTTTACACCGGAATTGTTTCAAATTTGGTATTTGAGGTTCGTAATGGATACTACAGCCTGTGACAGAAAATTGTCTGTGCAGGTCCACGTCTTCGTATAGCCCCCATATAACGGTACCTCCCGATATTCGGTATTTTGATACTTTTAGCGTCATTATTCGCCGGAATTGTTTCAAATTTGATATTTGAAGTTCGTAATGGATACTACAGCCTATGACAGAAAATTGTCCATGCAGGTCTACGTCTTTGTATAGCCCCCATATAACGGTACCTCCCGATATTCGGTATTTTGATTATTTTAGCTTAATTATTCGTCGAAATTGTTTCAAATTCGGCATTTGAAGTTCGTAGTAGATACTGCAGCCTATGTCAGAAAGTTGTATGTGCAGGTCCACGTTTTGGCATAGCACCCATATAATGGTACCTCCCGATATTCGGTATTTTGATGATTTTAACGACATTATTCACCGGAATTGTTTCAAATTTGATATTTGAAGTTCGTAATGGACACTGCATCCTATGACAGAAAATTGTCTATGCAGGTCTACGTCTTCGTATAGCCCCCATATAACGGTACATCTCGATATTCGGTATTTTTATAATTTTAGCGTCATTATTCGCCGGAATTGTTTCAAATTCGGCATTTGAAGTTCGTAACGGATACTGCAGCCTACAACCCCCATATAACGTTACCTCCCTATATTCAATACTTTGACGATTTTAGCTACTGTTCACCGATTTTTTTCTTCAACTTTCGCATTTGACAAAAACTGCCTATGCAGGACACGTCGTCGGTTAGACCTAATATAACGGCTACATTCCGTATTTTTTAGATGTTAACAGAGTTTTTAAAGGATTTTATTTATTTTTAACCCTTAAATACAGATGACCGGTATTGTTTACCGGACAGCATTTACGATTTTTCAATTTCAGGGATAACTGAATATATTTTGCTTTAAAAAAACTTGTGCGGTTTTATTAAAGTAAATAGTTTTAAAACTTTTTCAAGATCTTGATATGCAAAAAATATATAACAGACATATATTAAACAAATTTTTCAATTGTTTTACAGAAATTTTATGTGTTTTTTATAACCGGTAAAAATTGCCGATGGTCTGTACTAACGTTCGTATAATTTGACGTCTGTAGTTAAGGGTTAAATTGCCAAATTTGTTCCAAATGGTGGAGGATATTCAAAGTTTGGCCCGGCCGAACTTACAGCTTTTTTACTTGTTTTTTTATATCTGTCAAAGACCACCAGGTTCCAATACAATCCTCATATCCTCATATCGTTTTTTTTTTAAATTTTCGAAAAAAATTGGTTTCATTTTATTTCTTATTCACTTTGTTTTTTTTATTTTAAAAACTACTATAAATATAGTAATTAAAAGTATAATTATCGTTATAATAATCAGTAAAAGTGTTTATATGTAATTTTGTATTGTAAAATGTTATTTAAAATTTAACAATTAGTTCAAAACTACTTCGATATATGTGTGTGTGTATATATATATTTAATTATATGCATTATAGAAAGTGTTCTATACTACTCCAAAGAAATGTCAGGGGTCAAGAAACAATTTAACAACGCATAACTACTAAGAGAACACTTTCTGCCACACATGGGGACTCATGTCATGTCAGGTAATTCTAAAATCCTTATTATGTCTCATATGACACGAAGTGACCCATTAAAAAAAAAGAACTTACATCAACAGAAATGAAAAAAAAAAAAAAACACCTCAGCTCTGAAGAAATTTGCCTCAGAATATCTTCGATATTTTTTGAAAAAAAAGAAAAAAAAATGGTTTAAAGGTTATGATGACCTTACATAGGCCTATTGAAGTTGGAAAAGAAGGCTGTTTTTGACAGTAAATTTGTTCATTATTGTGTTTCGGGTTTCTTTGAATTTTGGATAACAATTACTCATTCTGAGAGCAAAGTTAGGTAAACTTTATGGGCCTTAAATCTGAATCTGTATTTCCAAAAACATTTTTTTGATATGATTAATATTGATATTTTCCAACACAGGTTTCCACCTTAATTTTGTAATCAAATTATTCTTATTTTTATTTATTTTTTTGCGATATTGAATTAATATTTTTTCTAAATATGTCTCTAAATTTTTGAGTTGTTTTTTTTTATAAAAATTTTAAAATGGTTTTTTTTCGTGATTATCAAATTACTGAGAGTTCAAAATAAATTCACAAATTTCCTATTGAAATTTGTTCTCTCTGGAGGGACTGGACTTGATTGTTTTCGGTTTTTTTTATTTTTTTTTTCTCATAAGTTTCAAAAATATTGTGCCTTTTTTGTAGAAAATTTTGTTCACGGACAACTACAAGGAGTTGAAAACCAGGTGCTTTTTATAAAATTCTATTTAAAATTGAGTGTCTTTTGTTGGCTTGTGTTCGCATTGTTGCGGTAAGGGTAAAAAGTTGGTTTTCTCTAGCCTTAGAATAAATGCAAAACGGATCAGGAGGAGTTTTTAAAACAAAAATTTTTATACGAAAATACCACCGTCATTTGAGGAGCTTTCTTCCTTTGAAAAAAAAAGAAAAATTAATTAGCGCCTGTTTTTTTATCAGCCTCCTTCAAATGTTATAGATTTTATTAATTGGAAACTGTAAGGAGTGCCTAGTTTTCTTTCTTTGGGATCGTCTCAGAAAATAAGGGCCTTAATAAGTAAGGATCATTTTCTCTATGAATGAAATCCCTAAGTTTCTTCCAAATATAGACATAGGAAATCTGGTTCCATCTATCAATACCTTAAAACAAATGTCTACTATCTCCAAAAACCCATAATTCAAGATTGTTAAATGACGTTCAATTCTAAGCTAGTCACATTGGTCTACATAATTTCACCGCAATCTCTAGAGGTTAATTTTTCCGTATTGTCTAGTGGTTAAGATACCAAGCTAACCGTGAAAGAAAACCATTTCGACTCCACTTATACAAGAAAATATTTTTCTAAAAAATTTGGTTATCAAGAGAATACTCGAATATATTCTCCAAAATGTTATGGTTTTAAAATTTTGCCGAAGTCTTCTTTTCTTATTAACATATTTTTCTGCGTCAGGAACCGTTTTGCATTTATACTAATTCTAGATTTAGGTGCTTTGCTTGTCTTATCTTAAATATTTCGTTGATTGCTTATTTTCAATATTTTTTTTAATTGACTTGAATTGGGGTGCGCTATAACTTTTGTGTATTTTTACCACATGGAATGTTCTTAACTTATTTGCTCTTTTTAAAATTAAACTTAACAATTTAATATAAGTAACTGTTTTCATACAAATCTAAAAAATGCCAGTTGTTCACGTTTATGTTTTCTGCACTTAAATTATAACCAAAACTAAATTATATTCTTAATAAAAAAAAGAGGGTAAGCATTTTAAATGCCCGACAGATTTTGTGGGAGTCGAGTGAAATAAATATGCAATTTGTTCGCTTTCAACTAAGACTGGCTTCTTACGACAAAAAAATATATTAAAATTATTTCGAGGGTTGCCGTTTATGGGTAAAACGTGGTGATGTTGGTGGCGGACTGTGTTTGACAGGAGCCGTGTCTGGACGGTTGGGCATTTTGCTGCGCAACATTTGTTCGTGGACATAAAGGAAAACACCAATATCTCGATGGCCCGCCTGCCAGGCAATCTTGAAGGCTGTGCTGCCATCCTACAAAAAAAAAAATTTAAAAATTAAAATATTTAATTTAAAAAAATAAATATATTTTTTTTATAATCCTCCTACCGCATCCTGTATCAAAGAGTCACAATCGGGATGTGTCAACAAGTGCTTAACAATATCACTACGTCCATGTTCGGCAGCACACATCAGCGCCGTGCTGCCATCTTCATCCTGAATATTAATATCGGCCCCATTGGCCAATAGCAGTTGTACCATTTCCAAGTTACCATGCGATACAGCCAGCATCAAGGCTGTCTGGCAATGCTATAAATAATAAAATTAAATATTTATTAGAATTCTTTAAATGTTGTCTTGAAATGCTCACCTTTTTTGCCCGTATATTGACATCAGCCATCTGAAACAATCGTTCAACGACCGTACGATGTTCGGGATTTTTCAATTTAGCCAATGACACGAGCATAACACTGGTATATCCTGCATTATTCATTTGATTTACATTGCAAACCTTTGAATCTAGCAGAATGGATACAACATCAAAATTACAATGCGAGACGGCATAGTGCATGGCGGTGTTGCCCTGGAAAAGGAAAAGAAAAAATATATGCAAAAAAAGAATTAATTTTTGTTCTCAATAAAAAAAGTATTCAAAAATATTTCAAGACCATAAACAAGAGTTCCAATTGTAGAGAACACCCAAAAATTGTTTCCTGTAAAATGTCGCAACTAACTATTGCTTAATTGCCCTGGAAAATTAGGCATAAATAAAAACAAGTAAAACAGTAAGTTCAGCCGGCCGACCTTTGAATACCCTCCACCGTGTGGAACGAATTTGGCAATTAAAAAAATAAAATCCGTTAGATATTCTGTTAAAGTCTTAAAAATACCGAATGTGGCCGTTATATTAGGGTCTATACGACGGCGAATATAGGGAGGTGTCGTTTTATGGGGGCTATACGAAGACATGGACCTGCACTGACAATTTTCTGTCTTAGGCTGTAGTATACATTACGAAATTCAAATACCAAATTTGAAGGAATTCCGGTGAATAATGTAGCTAAAATCATCAAAATACGAATATCGGAAGATGCTGTAGAAGGCATGGACCTGTACGGACAATTTTCTGTCATAAGCTGTAGTATCCATTACGAACTTGAGATACCAATTTTCCGGTGAATAATGTCGCTTAAATCACCAAAATATAGATAATAGGAAGGTTCATTTACATGGGCGCTATACCAAAACGTGGACCTACATGACCCATTTACATACCAAAAGTCCTGCAGACATAATATACATTTGAGTAAAATTTTATCAACCTACTTCGTTTCGTTCGAAAGTTGGAGTAATTCCCGCAGACGGACACCGCTAAATCGACATAGAATTTTATGCTGATTAAGAATACTTTGTAGGGTCTAAAATATATATTTCGAAGTGATACAAACGGAATGACAAACTTAATATACCCTCCATACTATGGTGGAGGATATAAAAAGGAATATTTCGGTCCGCTATATCTGTAACCTCACGCATATTTCATTATTTTCCAAAAATTTGCACATATCTCATATACCTTATGACATAGCTCAAACCTGGCACGTTGTAATATCAGTCTTTGGTTAAATATGATTTGGCCAACTGCTTCGGAACCTCCCCCATAAAGGGTCAACAGTTTGTATAATCATAACTCAAAGCTGGGGTATACATCTGTCGGCAAAACCGACTGATACTATTTTACTTTTTTTTTTTTGAAACGAAGTAGCTTTCGTTAGCATTCAAATTGGCCTATCTATATCTCGAAAAATATTATTAATCATTATTCAAAAAATATCAAATTTGTTTTCGGTATTGTCTAGTGGTTAGGATCGAGTTGGAATGTGAAATGTGGTCAAATGTCAAATGTGGTTATCTCAATTCTATTATCAATTCATCTTCATTATTTAATCTCCTCCACAGCGAATTAATTGTTGTTCTCAATAAAAAATGTCCTGCAAATTCCATCGATATCCCATACTTACATTCGAATCCACCATATTCACACAGTATTCCAGCAATGGCACGGACAGCTCCTCAAAACAATCCAAATAGTCCTCTACCTCGTGGGGATTGGCCTTTTCCGAACTGGAAATGCGGAACCATTCATGTTGGATAATTTGTTTAGAAGTTTTCAAGCTCAACGATGAAATGGGTTTGGCGCCCATTTTCTTCAACAAAGAGTTGTTAATGGACTTGCAGGCAACCAACATGTTTGTGGGTGGAACGTACCTGGAACACAGAAATTATTTTATTTTAAATTTTTCTTTTAATACATTTTTTTAGGAGAACTCACTTCTTCCTAGGCTCTGCCTCACGTGTGGCAATTTTCTGCAGCAAAGCTTTGGGTTCTTCCTTTGGCGCTTCCTCTTCAATTTTGTGGCTCGTCTTTGCCGTCTGACTAGATTTAATGGGTGAGGGCAAGAGTGATGTCTTCTTGCGAGCTCCCTGAGATATTTCCGGTTTGTTGGGTTGCGCCATTTCCTGCTGTTCCTTGGCTCCTGGTTCATCTTCTTTTTTCGGCTTTTCCTCACATGGAGTTGGTTGTACTTCAATTGCTTGTTCATCATTGCCATTCGCCTCCGTGGATAGTGTCACTGTTGGAGCTGGTGAATTATCACGCGACCAACTAATACTAACCCGCTTCTCTTCACGCACAATGAGCTCATTATCATCAAAGTGGCTGAGGTCATAAAGCGATTTACGTTTCGGTGATGTCTCTGGGGATTCCGCAGTATTAGCATTTTTATCGGTTTCCTCATCGTTGGGCTTTTCACTAGGCTTCTTCGAGCCACTGGCCACAGGTTCCGTTATGAAACTTTGAGATTCTCCAGCATTGTCCAGCTGATGGAATGGCGAAGGTTTCTCCTGCAAGGAACTGTGAAGAACCAAAAAACATCGTTAGTTTTTGTTTTGAATGGGAGAAAATATGCTGAAGAATTTACGTCAATAGCAAAGCTGAACAGCCACTCACTATCAAAGGATAGCAAGTGAAACTGCCAAGACTCCAAAACATTTGAAATGCAATTGTTTCCTCGTTAAGCAAACAAATCAGTTAATTATTTAAAATTTTTCAGTTTCCTCAAATTTTGCAAAACAAAAATCACGCACACACACGCAAAGAAAACAAGCAGCTACAAAGCTTTCTGAACTTAACAAAATGTTTACTGCGAAGGTCATTGCTATTGTTTGCATCTTCTTCTTCTTCGCCATTGTGGTGAAAAAAAGAGGCTAGCTCTGGGCTCAAGTTGAATTTAGCATACAGTTGGAGCATGCGTAGGATTAAAGGGTTGCCGTGGGAAAATTTTGAAAGGATATGGAGCGGGGAAACGGTTCGTAATATTATTATTTTATTCATTTATTATTATTATTTATTTATTTATTTTTTTGAGATAATAAAACAACGTGAGTGTAGTTAATTTATAACTCAATATCTTACCTCTAGACAATACGGAAAATCTGACAAGAATTTTACGAAATGGAACTGAAAAATTAAATTGGCATATCGAGTTTTTTACATTTTTTTTTGCGAGGGCATTCATCAATATTTCAATAAAAACATTTAGCAAACATCAGAAGTAAAGTTTCCGCGGATGGAAACAACGTTAAGCGAGAAAGAAATTACCTTTTGTTCTCAACAAATATCCGGCAAATGCAAAAAAAAAATAATTAAAGGACGGATTGCCAGAAAACCTGTGGGATGACGACATCGATCCCACAGTACGCCATGAAAACTTTAATATACCATTGACTCAAATCAATTAATCTTTGTTCGCAATAATATATTATCTTAAATGAAGTCAGTGTGTCTTCTCATAATTATAGGTTCCAGTCGAAAAAATGTTAGAAATATGGAGATCCCATTAATAAAAAAATTTCTTCTATCGAAAATCCATTCTTCAGATTTAGACAATAACAATCAACTCTCAATAACATTTTAACCGATTTTGAATGGGCTTTAGCCACAAAAGATTACTAAATTATGCAATGTGGAGGATATGATAAGTAGTGGACTCCGATCTAAAAAATTGTTTGACGAACTATCTATCAAAAATACCAATCAATCTTTGTTCTCAATAAATGTTGTCCAAAACAATTCTAGCGCAGTTTCCATAAAACGGCAGGGAAACTACCATAAACAATTTAATCAATAATAAACACTCAATAAAAGTTTATCTTGTCATAACCATGCAAAAAAATTTCGTTTAGCCAAAAGTAAATCTGAAAGTCCTCCCTTACCCAAATTTAATTGAAAATGAAGATGCGTATCAAAAAAGAGGGCCTGAAGTAGGTCATCAGACAAGAAAATACCAATCAACTTTTGTTCTCAATAAATTTCCATCACATATAGATTCGGATCGTGGCATATGAAGAATCGAAAAACAGGTCCTCAAATTTAGAGATTTGCCCTTTGAAAGTCTATCCTATAATTAAAAAAATAAATAAATTTGTGACGAAAAACCAATTAATTTTTGTTCACTTTTCACTTTTATCTTCACGTAAATAGTAGGAAAAAATCATCTAGTCGAAATTTGTTATGAAAGCCCCCCCATATCCCAATTTATTTGAAAATGGAGATGTCAATGAAACGAGGGCTTTCATATAGAGAACATCCATTCTCCAGCTCCAGACATGAACATAATAATCAATGTTTGTTTTCAATAAATTTTGACCCGATATTGAATCGGCTTTAGTATCAACTAGGGTTATTCAACTATGCTATAAAGAGGATGTAGGGCAATTCGATCAAAAGGAAACTAATCGTTCAGATATATCTGTCAAAAATACCAACCAATTTTTGTTCTCAATAAATTTCCAGCTGAAATGGTGATGCCAGTGAAAAGAGGACTTTCATCTAGAGAAGATCTCTTTTTTCAGATTTAGACACTAAAATATCGATGAATTTTTGTTCTCAATAAATTTTCCACCACCAAAAAATATAAATTCCCCCGAAATCTATTTTTCAAGGCAAGACCCATTGCATTGGCAACCCTAACTCCAACCCACCATACAACACTTTTTTTATTATTGAATCTCTTGCTGACACCCCTCCCCTCAAAAAAAGCCCTCTACACCTTACTCATCTAACATTGTATTAGGTCAGTGAGTTATTGGGTTACCTTATGAAAGCAGAAACTTTCCACCCCCCAAAATTCACCACAGGTTTGGGTCTAAGCTAAATGCATTCCTTCAATCTTCAAATATATAAAAAACCTACCTTGCCACATTTTTTCTTTCCGCCACCGGACTGGATGGTGGTGATGGTGTCACGGTATAAGTATTTTGCCTCTGAAACACCCTTCTCTGCGGCGTGGGACTTGGCAATGCCTTTGGTCGAGGGATTTTCGATTCTGCTGCACGGCTGGGTAGAGGACTTGCCAAGACTTTGGAAAAGTCTTTGGCTAAATTTTTAATGGCATCCTTGCAAGAATCACAGTAATTATCGGCACAGGCAATAGAGATATGGGGCTTGACCACATCACCACAGCCAATGTCACGTTTGTGTATGGCCTCAGTGTTGGAGGAGGAGTTGCTTGTCTCAGCCAAGGGTGCAGTGTTGACGCCATTATCGCGGAAATTCTTCACTTCTGTGTTGGAAGCCTTGGTGAAAAGTATCGGTTTGGGTGTGGGCAAACGAGTTTCCTTGGCAGGGGGTGTGGGTGGTGCTATTTCCTCGGTATTGGTCTGTGAGGTATTAAGACGTATCAAATCGCGTGTATCAGTCTGTTTGGCACTCATATCCAGTGATGATTGGGTGCCACTGCTTTGCATGTCGGGAGAGAATTGCAAACCCACCGAATGCACTGTGGCCAGGGAAGTTTGACAGCCGGAAGAGTGTACCGCCACCGGGGTGTATTGAGTCCATTGGGTTTTCTTTTGTATATTGAGTTTTTCATGCTCGCCCAGAGTAAATGTATTGCTGCGGCCAGGCATTTCCAAAAGTTTGAGGGAAACAGATTTGGGTGTTTCTACGTTTTGCTCCTCCGTGCCACAGGCCACATTGTGTTTGGTTACCAAACATTTGGGACAAAGGACATCATTGATACTGTGGTTCGAACAACCCACGGTTCTCACATCGGGCTTGCAATTGGTATAACTTTCCCTGGTAGCCGGTTGAACCATTATACCCACATTATATTTCGTTACCGGCTTATCTGGCCTCGTTTGGACACCATAATCCCGCAAATCCTTTTTCGGGGTGTACATTTGTGTACCAACCGATATCAGATCCTTGAGACGTTCCAATTTCTTCAGCTCCTCATGTTGCCTTATGCACAATTCAATACGTTTCTCAACCTCAATTTTGGTGTACAGATTCTCATTGATATTCGAGGTGACGGCAGCATTACAGGCCACATCCCTGGTAGTTTTGAGTACCGGCAAGGGGCTGCCAACGGCAATATCTCTGGTGGTTTGTTTGCTACACATTGTCCCGACGTCACGTTTTAGGGTGGGTGGAGATTTTGTCAGCTTTTCCGATGAGGTGGATGTGGTCCTCAAACGTGCTCCCAAACTCTCGAGAGAAATTGGGCTGACACGTTGTGGTTGGAATTGAACGGGTGAGGTTATTTTCGGACTTGGACTGGGTGAGGAGGAGAAACGATTTGCCTCCTTGGCCTTTTGTAACTCCTCTTCCTTGCGTTGTACAGTTTGTTGCAGACGTTGCTTCTCATCGCGCAGTTGATTCAGTTCGCTCTGGAAAAAAAGAGAAAAGGTGGGAATTAAAATAAGTTGAGAAGAGAGAAATGCGTTGAGAGACAAAGTCTAGTCTAGGCGAAAAAAATCTGAAAGTTCTCCCATACCCAAATTTCCTTCAACATAAGGATGCCAATGGAAACAGGACTTTCATCTAGAGAAGATCCATTTTTCAAATTTAGACAAGAAAAAAAACCAATCAACTTTTGTTCTCAATAAACTTCTATCCTATATAGGATCGGATCGTGGCATATGAAGAATCGAAAATTGGTTCTCAAATTTAAAAGTCTCCTTGAAAGTCTATCTTAGATAGTTTGTCGAGAGGCTAACTCAGCGATTGCTCGCTAATAGATCATCGGTAGCTAGTCATCATTTCGTTGATAGCTTCAGCGACAGCTCGTCTTCGATAGTCCAGAGAAAACTCTTTGTTAGCCCATCCTTATCTCAGTGACAGATTGTTCATGGATCATTGGTAATTAATCGATTGCCAGTCGATAACTCTTCAATAGTCCTTCAATGCCCCACCAAATAGGATGTTGATAGCTGATCTATCATTAATGGAAAATTCATTGATTGTTTATTTTTTATAACTCATCAAAAGTATTTCGATAGCACATCGACATCTCTTCGATAACTTGGCGAAAACCTATCTACAACTCATCGATATCCCACCAATAACTCGTAGATAGCTGTTCTCTGCCGTAACTAATCTGGAGTGTCACATCTACTCTCTTTAAACGACGTTGAAACCAATTTCCGCTCCTCGATAACTCGGCGTATACTCATCTACAACTCGTCGATGCCCCGTCAATAACTCATAGATAGCTTTTTTGCCGTAACTAACCCGGAATATCGTATCTACTCTTCTGAAATCACTTTGAGAGGAATCCGCTCTCATTTAAATAACCCAGAGAATCATCTGTCCTACAGTAGCTTATTTTGGGATTGGTCGAAAAACTCACCTGCAAATCCGGTATAGTCTTAACCTGTTCCTCCAAATCTTTCATGCGTTTCAAACTCAAAGCCATTTGTTGCCGGATATTGAAGAGAGTTTGGGCATCGGCAGCTGGTGTTGTGGGAGTTGTGGCGGCTGCATTATGATCCACCGATGTCAGGGTGACTGTGGTAAATTTCTCTGTTGTTATGGATTCTTGACTTGTTTCCTGGACATTGGGACTGGCAATGACTGATGATGATGCCGGCAGCAAAGGTGACATGGGACTTGTTAGCGATGACTTTACCAAAGATTGTTTACGTGGTGGTGGAGCTGGAGGTGTTGTAGGGCTGAGGCCGCTATCAGCGCCCACCAATAACTCTTCAACGGGAGATTTGGCATTGGCCGCCACGGTGGCCTTGACATATGACTCATATTGTTGCTCGGCCGGTGAAAGTTTTTGCTGGAACGGCAGTGGTTTGGAGTAGATGCGTGATGATCTTGGGGACTTATTGCCAGCTATACAAGAATCTGCAAGAAATAATTGTGAAATATTAAAATGTATTCTCCCAGAAATGTTCAAGTATTACAATTGTCTTTAACATTGGTCCGGCGTATCAATACAATACGTATGTGAAGTCTTTCCATGGACACTGCGCGAGGCAAACTATTCCAGTTACTTCACCAAATGTTGTCTAGCCGCATTTCTCTCTCATTTTGGCGTTTTTTGTTTCTTCTTTTCTATTTTTTCTGTTTCAAATTAGTTTATTTGCCATTAAAATTTAACCCATACACACAACCATAGCTTGGAAGCTATGCTATGCTTCCGAAGCAAATTATACATTAATGCAAAATTTATTCAAATTTTGCCATTCAAACTCTCAAAGTTGAACTCGGTTGGCTAAATCAGCATTCTCTGGATTTTTGAATGCCATGTGAAAAGTTTATAGGGCGGAAATGTGTGTCACCATCACCGCACAAAGTTCCAAGTTACTTGCCAACGCTTTTGATAGTAAAGCAGAAAAAAAACGGAATTATCAAATTTTTGCGGTCTTAGCCAAAACAGAAGGAGAAACAAAAAAAATCACTTGAATTGGAGTTTGTTTATTTGTTTGGTTTCCAAGTTGTTACACTTGACAACTTCGCAGTGGTGTTGCTGTCATTATGTTTTTTTGTTAAAAAAAGAGATGTCTTCACTCTCTCAAAAAACCAAAAACTTTAAGCTGACTAAAACGATTTGAAACCACTTAACAAGAGTCTGCCAAAATATGAGAGGAAATAAAATAGATTTTTATATTAGACACGTTAATAGTTTCAACAGTACGAGGGCAGTTTAGAAACGTTAGTTAAAAAGTGAATTGGTAAAGAGGGAAATCTGCATAAGCAGCAATTTAACATTTGTTTGGGAGGAATTTCAAAAAATCCTGTGTTTTGAAAAACAAATTAATGTTTGTTCTCAATAAATTTTAACTCAAATAGCAAGGAATATAACAGAGGATCCGCAAAAAAAATATTTTTCAGACTTATAAAGATTCAGAAAAAACAATCAACATTTGTCCCCAATAAAAATGTTTTCATGATAAGCTCAATATGTCTTCTCTTAAATATATGCCAACGAATGGGCTGTTCCAAAAAAAAAAGAAAAAATCGGTTAAATAAAATACCAATCTATTGTTGTTCTCAATAAATTCGTATCTAAATTAAACTCAATATTTCTTCTTAAAAATAACAGCAAAAACAAGTAAAAAAAATTAAGTTCGGAACTTTTAATGCCCTCCAAGCTTAGGCAAAGAAAACATTTGTATATAAAAGTATCAGAATTCAAAAGTGTTCCACTATCGTCAAATACCAGTAAACCGTTTGGATAAGGCATTGAAACATTTCAAAGACACCATAAAGTGGATGAACCCGTTATATGGGGGCCATACCTAAACGGCAACTTCCATAGACAATTTTCTGCTTCAAAATCTTCTCAAATACCAAAATTTTAAATAGTTTCATGAGTAAATGTGACAAGGATTATAAAAATTCGGTATATCGGTAGGTATCATTATATGTGCGCTATAGGAAAACGTGGACCTAAATATTCAATGTTCGGCCACCGGAGCTAGAATCTATTATGAACTACAAACACCAATTTTTAGACAAATACTTTTTCGGGTGGAGGGTATAAAAAACACCAAAGAACCTTTATTTCCATAAGAATTTTAACCGATATTGAATCGTCTTTAAACATAAAACCTTTGATAAGTACGCACTATGAAGGATGTAATGAATTGACGTCAAGAAAATAAATTGTTTAGATTGAAACTATTTCTGACAAAAACACTAATCAATTTTTGTTCTCAATAAATTTTCAACCGATATCGATTTGAGGCATATAATCTGGGATATAACGCTAAATGGACTATATATTTAAGAAAATATAATATAAAAATTTCTAAAGAAAATATCAATCAATTTTTGTTCTCAATAAATACCCACGCGATATGGAATCCGCTTTGACATCTAATAAATAATTTACTGATCTGCGGAATCCCTTATAACCTAATCTATCCCAGGATTTTCCGAAGTAAAACTACATTTTAGACGAAAAAATTTAATTTTTTTTTTCAAAAAATCCATTGAATTTATCCTACCATTTTTAAAAATACACTATATTTTGGACGAAACTCTAATAGACTCAATGAATTTCTACCCAAAATCAAGTCGGTTTTATGTAGTTTTAGAATCTGGCGCGTAGAAACCCAAATCTAAATGTTCAAAAATCAATCTCAGAAAAAAATCCAATCCATTTTGGTTCTCAATAAATTATGCCAAAGTTATGGAAATTAAAAAAAAATACGGGATTGGAATTTTTCTATACACGGCTCCATCTTCTGTCTTAAAGTAGTTTTTAAAGGAATAATCTTCTTCCCACAAACACACGTATTCGAAGGGCTCTTAATACAGATTTTATATTTTAAATGTGAACCCATCCTACCTGTTTTCAAAATAAAATTTGGACGAAACTGCATTCAATTTTTGTTCTCAATAAATTTCCACCCGTAATGGTTTCGGTTTTAAGTAATTGAAGAATCTAGGGAATTGCCCGTAGAAACCCATATCTAAATGATAAAAAAATAAATCTCAGAAAAAAATCCAATCCGTTTTTGTTCTCAATAAATTATGCTAAAGTTATGGAAATTAAAAAAAAATACGGGATTGCAATTTTTTTTTGAAGGAATAACCTCCTTCTCACAAACATAACATAGATCCTTGGAAAAAATGGTCAATGGCACCAGATTTGGGAAGAGTCCTTCACATAGCGTTACCTTATCCTATTATAGGGGATTTGGGCGATATTGAGCTGGTAGCTTTTGTTCAATATTTTCGGTATTTTTTTGTTTTTCATAGTTTCTATCATTTAAAAAGCCTACAACATCCTGCTGGTTATAAAGCACCTCAAGAATGCTTCTATCAATTGAAGACCCCTTAAAGTGACTTCAACCTAAAATTTCTTTCTTATATTCTAATAGATACTTCTTTTCATACAAGGCGAGTATAGGTGTATTATATTGGAAAATTGTTTTTCGAATAATATCTACTATTTTAGTTCAGGTTTCTGTTTTTTTTTTATTCATTGGTCTTTGAAAAATATTTTTTTTTGTTTTAAATAAATTGTTGATGTGTTTTGGTACCGACTTTTCTCCTGCCATGTGTTCGGGTCAATTTATTTTTACAAAGGGACTTTGAGTTAAATTGCCTTGGATCTGATATCACTCGAGAGGAAAAAAATTTGCCTTCAAGCTGAATTTCAAGTGTCGTGAATTTATTGGAGTGTGAATGTGATAATTGTGCGAAATCAATGTGGCAAAAATAAAAAAACAAATACAACACCAAAAAATTCGTACCCAAATAAATGATAACAGCAACGTTGCTAATTAGAGGGGAATTTTATCAATGAAGATTGAAGATTTTCGATAAATGGATTAAATATTTGGAACTATGATTTATTATAGAAAAATCGTTTATAAAAGTAATAAATGTTTGTTAAAAACTTGGACTTCCGTTTAGAAGAAAAATATCAAAATTCTAAAAAAGTGTTCTTTATGAATTTAAAAAAAATTAAATATTATTTTATATTTGATTTCCGATCTGAGGAATTTTAAAACCCCGGTATCTACATGGGTTTCTTAACTCGAAGCATATATATACAAAAATATTCTCCATTTTCTTGAAATACCAAAAATCCCACAAACCCCTCAATATAAAGTCATCATCTTTTGAAACCATATTCACATTTCAAATTTTGTCTTCTGCTTTGTCATAAAACGCAAATCCCAAAAATTATGTTCTTTCCAACAAAGCATAAGCCTCTTAAAATCCCCACATTAAAAATTACCATAAACATTGAAAACAAAATTTATTTACGGTAATTTGGCAAACGAAGCTTTAAATATTCTTTTGCCAGCTGACAGATGAAAAGAAGCGGAAAAATGGTCATTTAAAAAATTATACATATGTATAAATATTATTTATGTGTTTCTTTTGTGAATGGATTCCACTTTTGTTTTGGTTGAGTTAATATTTCAACTTTCAATTTTTTGAAATGTGGGTTAGGGAGCGATCTTTTTTATTCTTTTTGGAAACATTTCTTTCAATGGTTGGCAGATGTTATGACAACAAAAGATTTAAAAAAAAAGAAGAATGATATTCAAAAAAGAACTTAGAGAAGTACGACTTCTTGATTGATTTTTTTTTGACACCCCCAAAGCAAGTCTCTTATATAATTTAATATATTTAACATTTTTTATTGTTTGGGATCTTCAGAAAATTATCGACTCAATAAATGTTTACCCAATATTAAATGAACTTAGAGTGTATATATTGAAAAAAAACAAGTATTCCAATCAATTTTTGTTCTCAATAAATTTCCATCTGATATAGAATCGGCTAGGGTATGTGTAATTTATCGATAAGTCTTCGATGTAGAAAATGTATTCCTTCCCATCATCTTTTAAATAAGTGAAGGAGAAATTTAAGCACGTATGAAAAAGTAAAAAAAAGCAAAAAAAAAACAATCAACTTTTGTTCTCAATAAACCTCATCCGATATTAAATGGAAACCTCACTATCCCTTAAACAAAATTATAATATAGTTAAAACAAATCCACGTCTTGTAATATGATACTATTTGAAAAAAGGTTTAAATTTCTGTGTTTGGTGGTCTGAGTGTTCTCGAGAATTTTTTTTTTTAAATCCAAATTTTATGGTCTGTGGGTCATTTTAGAAAAAAGGTCCAAAAAATCCGCGTTTGATGGTCTGTGGGTTCTTAAAAAAAAAATTGTTAAAAAAAACCAATAATGGTTCAAAAAATTGGTTTAAAAATCCAAATTTAGTGGTCTGTGAGGTCGTTCAGGAAAATTTCCCAAAATATTCAAATTTGAATTTTATGGTCTGTGAGTCCTTTAACTGCGTTTGAAAAAATAAAAAATTAACGTTTGGCGATCGGAGTTGTATTTAAAAATCCGCAAAGAATGTCTCTGTTTC